ACCTGCAGGCTTGGCTTGTAGTTTCACTGACAAGAACTCAGGACAAGCGTCCGAGAACGGCGCAGGCGCACGCATCGTGAGCTGCTTGGCGTCTTGCCCAGGATTCTACAACATGTTCCCTGTGAGCCCTACAACCTGAAGCCACCCCAACCCCCGAAACGCCAAACCCCCACGAGGTCCCTAAACCCCAAACCCTAAACCCCAAACCCCAAACCCCAAACCCTAAACCCTAAACCCTAAACCCTCAGCTGGTCGTCCCTCTTTCATCAAGCCCAGGAACCAGCCCACACGGCGCACGGGCATCCTCATGAAAACCACCCTCTCCAGGCTCCACGAAGTCCACAGGCACTTCGTAAACTCCCCTACCTTAAAAACTGCCCCCGAAACTCCTGAAGCCCATATCCAAGAGAAAAAAAAAAAACCTAAAGGGTTAGGGTTCAACTAGAACTTCTCAGAAGGGAGCCCGGAGCAGGCCAGAAAATGTCTCATAGATCAACGGCTCCTGGCAGTCGTCGCCCTCGTCACTGCCGATGTGCGGTTTGTGTTGGGGGGTTTTGGCTTCAACCCTAAAGCCTGGGCAGTACCTCCGACCCAGGGTTCAGGGTTTAGGGTTTGGGGTTCAGGGCTTGGGGGTTTCGGGACTAGGGGTTTGGGGTTTGGGGCTTGGGGGTTTAGGGCTTGGGGTTTGGGGTTTCGGGCTCGGGCTTGCCATCCCTGTTTCTCCGACCTCCTCTGCCGGCCAGGGTTTCGGTTTCGGGGAGGTGTTCAGGGGTTTAGGGCTGAAGTGCTTAGATGTCTCAGCTTCTGGAGTAGATTTAAACCCTAAACCCTAAACCCTGAACCCTAAACCCTAAAACCCCCCAACCCCCCCAAGTTTAGGGAGCTTTTGGGGACCCCGAGCTGCACACAACGATCAGTTGGCAGCCGAACCCTGAACTCTGAACCTCAACAGCCTAAGCCCCAAACCCCAAACCCTAAACCCTAAACCCCAAACCCCAAACCCTAAACCCTAAACCCCAAACCCTAACTGGACTCGCAGGGGCGACGGCGCGACAACAGCCAGCAGCCAACTAGCTGGCTCTTCGCAGGGCAGTCCCTTAAAGGGGACATAAGGCTTAGGGGGTTTAGGGGGCTTAGGGTTTTTTGGGGAGGTACCCTACTAAGAACCAGCAAGCCAAGATTGCCCTACATGCCTACAGCGCTCTGACATTCGCATGGCGGCCGGAGTACGAAGACGACCAGTCGAAGTTTCGACAAAAACTGAAACAACTGACATTACAACTGACAAAAGCCCTATAAACCGTTTACAACCATTTAGAAGCCCTTTCTGTACCTCCCCCAAAAAAACCCCAAAAACATGCTGACACCAGTTGCGAAGCCCTCAAGAAAAAAAACCCTAAACCCTATGCGGGACGCTTGGAGGAACTCTCAAACCACTGTACACCCCCCCCTAAACCCTAAACCCTAAATCCTAAACCCTAAACGCTATGAGAGTCCTGCGGGTGCCACACAAACCAAGACCCCTGGTCAGGTGCAGCTGCGGGGTTGTGGGCTTTGTTGAGGAATCGGAACTGGAGTCGGCGCTCTCCCTTACCAAATATTCAGGCGCTCTGAAAATCGGCGGTGCTGGAGACCATCACGATGTTGCCCACCTGCTTCGCGAGGATGCTTATGGATTTTTCGGGGGGGTTTACGCTACTAGGGCGTAGCTTATTGAAGTCCTTTTTATAAGGGAATCCTACGATTTGGGGTCTCTAGTGGGGGTCCCTCATTTTCGTAAACCCTATTTCGCTACCTGGTCGATGACTATGGCTTAGGGCTTAGGGTTTCCAGTCCTGATTATCAGGGCTTTGGGCACTCTTTCGCCTCAAGAGAGTTGCAAGGCACGGAGCCTCGTTTCAGAGTATCCCGGGGACGCATGTGTATGAGGCGTAGTGTGAGGCGTTGCGGGTCCACCTAAGATATCCCTCCTTGGGTTTTGGCGGTTGGGGTTCAGAGGGCTGTCAACACATCTGAAAGGTTTGGTGGTTGAACATGTAACAAATGCGCTGGCAGACCGCCTAACCACGAGACACACTGGGAGACTCCCGTCCTCCCTGACCCTATAAAACCCCAAACCCAAACAGAAATATCTAACAAAACAAAGTGGGAACAGTCGCTTCTAGGTCCATCGCGGCATTTCAACTTGCAAAGCCCACAGCTGCTGGTTTATGGTTTTGGGTCGGTACGGCTCAAGCCCAGTCCTTATATAAACTCCACAACAACCTAGCAACCCTCCATGCTTACATGGAGAACCCTCAACCCCAAACCCTAAACCCCAAACCCTAAACCCTAAACCTCGACCCACTAGCAACCCGGAAGCTCCGAGGCCCCTGCACCGTCATCGATTCGAGCGGACTTGCCATCCTACAGAGAGTTGCCACTGCAGGCAGGACATGGGCTTTCGGGGGTCTCGAAGGTTCAGGGTTCAGGGTTCAGGGTTCAGGGTTCAGGGTTTGGGGTTTAGGGTGGGGAGATCAGTCAAGCAGTCCAGCGTTGCCGCCAATGCCAGATGCATGGGCTTAGGGGTCTGTTAGTTTGGGGTTGTGGATTGGGCTTTGTGCGTTTTGTTTCAAAACCCAAACTCCTGCAAACACCACCCCAAAGCCAAGAACAGGACTCGCCCGGGCGCCTAAACTCCAAGATCGCCTTGCTGGCGCTTGGGCCGCTTGGTGTTTCGGGCTTGTAAGGTTGAGGCAATGGACCCGCTTAAGCCCTGCGAGCCACCCTCAACTCGTGAGCCCGTCCGACCCTACATCTGGCCTCCTCTAAACCTTCATAGACCCCAAACACCTGCGGACCCTGCGAGAATACAGGGGCCGCGCCATGTCCACGGTCGGACGCGCCAGCGTCCCCTTCTTTGGCTCATCCGAGGGCTTCTTCTGGGCCGCAGAGCTGGGTGTTTAGGGTTTAGGGCCTAGGGTTTAGGGTTTAGGGTTTGGGTTTTAGGGTTTAAGGTTGTGGGGGCAGTCGGGATACAAAATCAGTGGCTTTGGGACAGGGGGCACTGAGGTGGCGGTGGTTCGAGGTCTGCCTTCCCTTACCCCCCGCCCCCCCCGAAAGCCCTAAACACGAACCCCTAGACCCCCAGACCCGAGAGTAGGCCTCCTCTTACCCCCCTCGAAGCACAACCCTTAAAACCCCTCAAGAACCCTTAAAAACGGGTCGAAGGCCTGAAGGCCTGAAAGGCTCTTAAAACCCTTTCAAGCCCTGTTAAAGCTTCTAGAGGCGTTGAAGATCTCAAGCTCGGGGCCCAGCGGAGGGCTCTTGGGCCCCCGAGATTTCTACCGAGGCTTCCTCGCGAAACCCCCACCCAGCATTCAGACCGAAACCCTGTACTGGGTTTGGGGGTCAGGGTTTCTGGTTTTGGGGTGTAGGCGTAGGGTTTAGGGGGTTCAGGGTTTGTGGTTTAGGGTTTAGGGGTTCAGACCCCTGAAACCCTGGGCCGCCGCACGCCGGCCAACAGCTCCTTCTGCCGATCCTCCTCGTCCTTCTTGGCCTCTTCCTGTCGCTGCGAGAGTCCGATCCCCTAGGCCCTCCTCCTCCAGGTCCCGGAAGTTTCCCAAACTCCTAGGGCGCCTGAGATATCAGAGATGGCTGCCGGGCCGGAGGTGCTTGCAAGAATGGCTGTGTTGCTTTTGCCTGCGTTTCAGGGTTTGGGGCTAGGCGAGCCTCAAACGCATCAAAGCAACACGCCTCACTCTAAGGTCCTCCGAATTAACTGCGCCTGTTTTGTTTTTTTTGTCCAGTGCGCCTTGTATCTCTCTTTCTTTTTCAAGCCCTTATAAGCCCTAAACCCTAGATATCCCTAAGCCCAAAACCCTAAGCTGCCCATCACATTGAAAACGACAACGCGAACTCGACAGCCCGAGGCCCGGAGCTCCACATCAGTCCCCCACAAGCAGTTCATACGCTCCAAAACCCCTGAACCCCATCCTATTCCCAGAAAACCCCGCTAGAAACCGGATGAACGCCCGTTGCATCTGGAAGAAACAGGGAGCTCTCTCCTCACTGCTGGGTTCTTCTTGAGGAACGAAGCTTAACAAGGGTTACATAGCCAAGGACACCGTGCTCCTTGTTACGGGAAGTGGCACAAGCTAAGCGAACAAGTGCCGAGTTTGGGCGCCTGCTGCGCGAGCTCGATCGCCTTCCCCGCCGCGGTGGCTACCTGCATGTGCTAGGAAGCTCCTGCTTACCGGGTATAGCCCCCAAAGCTATCCAAAATGAATCCATTCGGGGCACCCAGGATACCGCGCCTGCTGCGGGTTCGGCGATGCAAAGACCAAGTTCACGAACTCGTCCCGGTCGCGTTGCTGAGGCGATTTCAGGGTGTTTGGGCCCAGTAAACTGATTTTGGTGGGTTGATCTCTGAATTGGTAACCTACAAGGGACAACCAGCATCGGCCCAAGAAGGTCCAAAAGCTTAGATCGAGCTTCATTTAATTTAGGTTCAGGTGCAGCGAAAGGTATAGGGCGTGCCTGAACCCCTCTAACCCTCAACTCGACAACCTATACGACTTTCGCAGAGCTCCTTTAACTTGGTACAGTCGCGGCAGCATGAGCTTGCAAGGCGGTGCCTAGGCATGATCCAAGCAAGGAAGAGAAAGGCCTAGTGCCTATTTTTCCATGGCTGCTGCTGCTTCTAAACGGACCCCCCAGTTGAAGAGCCGTTTGCCTGCCCTGTATATAGTATAACAACAGAGGGACTACAAGAAGATACTCTCACAAATCAATTCGACACATACAACAGATTTTCAGCACCGGCGGATGTCTGATGTACCTGTACACTGTACACCGCAGTTAGGGCTTAGAGTGTTTATAGAGTCTTGTCTTGGCTCTCTTCAGAACTGTTGTCCTTTGCCTTTTCCTTTTGCTTTGCCTTTCCCTTTTAAGTTGCGTTTGTGTGTTCCTTTTCCTTTGGCTTTGCCTTTGTCGCCTTTGCTTACTTCTCTGCGCGGCCTTTAAAGTTCTTCGAGCCTTTCTTGCAGCTCGGCTGTAGACAGCGACAAAACCTCAGAGAGACCGCGGGTGGAGCCCTCGGGAGCCAGATTCAGCGCCCTGAGGCGTTCAAAACCTCTCGGGTTTCGCCCTTTCCATTCGTCTACATCGCGCTCGAGCAACTTGTGCAGCCAGCCGATCATTGTAAAGCATCCGTTCCCGGTCGAGTAGACACTCCCCCCATGGGCAAACTGACCGGATGGCTTCAACTGTTCCGAAAGTAGTTGGTTGCGCTGCATCTTCTGCATGACATCGCTAAGCGAGACCCCAAGAAATTCCAGCACTTTCTGGATTCCTGAAATCGGAATCTTTGCAGGCGCCAGGGTTCGTGTCAGCAGGTGTGGCGCTGCCAGAACGCTTCTTGCGGGCAGGAGGGCCGGCGCAGACGGATCGAGGACAAAGAGTGCCACAAAGTCACGGGAGGCCTCTGTCTCACCGATGTTTTTCATCCGAAGCACGCGGTGCGCCATTTGATAGTTCGAAAACACCAGAAGGGTGCCCTGACCAATAGGAACTCGACAGTTGTGCACCGCTGCAGACTCGTCACTCGTGCCACCTCGCAAGGCCTGCCGAAGGGACTCCGATCCCAAACCACTGATGTTGTTGCTGCAGTCGCCCCAGCCCAGAACATCCATGGGCTCGCGGCCGCAGAACTCCAGGTCACCACCATGAAGAGAAGAGTCAACGTGGTAGTAGTACAATACGACGGCAGCCACATTTTCTCTGTGGCCATCAACATGCCACAAACCGACGTACTCCGCATCTGACTTGCCGCCAACATTGCCTGGAACAATTATTCGCTGTGCCTTAAAAACAACTTGAAGCCGCCGATCATCCAGGAGAAGTTGCGGTCGCCGCAACTTCGCCAACAAGGGAAGAGCTGCGGCGAGGACCGGACGTGCAACATGCTGCGCAAGGTGCGGATGTGCATGACTCCGCGTACCACCCACCAATGATGGGGTGCCATCTGCAGAAACATCAAACTCGCACGGCACCCACACCGGACCGTCACGCGTCTGCTGAACAAACTGGTTGGGATCAACGATCATCTGGTAGCGTGGTATTGGCCTGTCGAGCGTTAAGGCTGCGTGCTCATCCAATAGTTGTCTCACAGGCAACTCGAGGCAAGTACTCCAGACATCACTTCTAGCACCTCCCCACTGCCTTGTTCCTGCCGGGAGCTTCCACAGAGGTGCCTGAGGGAAGTATCCGAACGGCTTCAACGGCTCATCTCTGCCTGCTTCGTAGGAAACGACTTCGCCTTTGGTATAGACCAGCCAATCCTCCTCCTGATGAGGTGTACCCGTTTTGCCTCCTAAGCTTGTCACCCACGTCCGCAACTCCTTTCGTGCCTGGACGGGTTCCGTGACATCGCTGAGGCGTGGGCGAACCTCCGCCTCCCCGAAGCCTGGACTACAGCGATTCCAGTTGGGGATCCTGCGGCACAGCAGAGGTCGACAGTCACGAACTGTCTGCTTTAGCGTCAGAACTCCTTCTCCGCGGACAGCATCAGACATTGATAGTTCGAGGCCATCTTGAAGCAGAACTCCGGCCGCGCACCCTGTCTCCTCTGAGATCAGTGCCAACAGCATTTCGGCAGTGAGCAGCTCAGCCTGAAGACGACTTCGTTGAATCTTGAACAACACCTCACCGCTTAGGCTGTGCCCATGAACACCTTGCTCATCCAAGCGCACGGTGGATATTTGATGCCTCGGGGCTGGGTCGGGGAACGTGAAGCCCCTGAAACTCTCATCGTCATAGTCTTCATCCGAGTCCATTTTGCAAACTTCGTCCTCCCCGAACTTCTCCATCCTCGCAGACAGCGCTTCTTCATAGCCGTATCGGTCGTGAGGGTCCATGGCGAAACGAATGGCTGGACGTACACACTAGAGGCGCAACAATCCTAAGCCAGCGACCTAGCGATAGCAGACCCCGGGCGTCTATCTTTCCACATGGTACATAGTTTGGCCCGCGAGGCAGTGTAATTATAGATACAATCTCCTTCTGGCCTTCTGAAAACAGGATCTGAGTCTTAGTGGCTAAGGGTTGGCACACATCCAGGTGCTTCGTTCCACCTCAGCTCTTAGGTTTAGAGCCTCGAAGGGCTCATCATGTTTACGGCTCATGCTTGGCTTCTGCGGCTTAGGGCTGTGCCTGGAGTGGTTGAAGCATTGTTAGGGCGAGTCGGTGCTTTGGGTTTCAGTGGGGCCCCCTACACCCGCATCAACCCCACACCGGCCTTCACGCGATAGTCAGGGACAGGGCAAAGCAGCAGTTTGGGCCCTGGCTCCTCGGGGGGCCGCAGGGGAGGGGGCGTCTCCGGGAATGCCCAGCATCCCAATCCGGAACACCCCAGAGTCGGACCACCTTTCCCGCATCGGGGTCAGTAGAGTTGGGTGTCTGGGTTTTCTGGGTTCAGGGTTCTTGGCGTGCCCCAACCAACTCTCCCCGAACGACCTCTGACAGCAGGGGGGGCCTTGCTCTGCAAGAGGACGGAGAACTTCTGAATGGGAGCCTCCTCAGCTTCGTTGTAGGTCGTCTCCTCATGGAAAGATCCGCGCTGTTGGGGGACCGAGGGGCCCGCCCCAAACCCGACACCGAGGCTGGGGTTCTTGGAACTTTAATTGGCTTGCCATGCGCCCCCAAGGGTTTGGGATTTTGGGTTTAGGGTTTGGGGTTTAGGGTTTGGGGTAATTATGGGGTTTGGGGTTTAGGGCAATCATGAGGCTTGGGGCTTGGGGCGTGGGGCGTGGGGCTTGCGGCTTTCCGTCCACCGTGGGCTACGGTCTAGCCTTGTAAACACGACCTTAGACTCTGGCCGGCCCAGAAAACTTATTTGAGACTCTCGCCCACAAAAAATCCATGTTGTCAGTTGTCAGTTGTCACTCGCTTAGGTTTTGGTTTAAGCTTTCAGTTGTGGGTCGAAGGGTTGTGGGGCTGTCTGGGTTTGCACCCTGGTCTATATTTTTTAAGAAGCCAAAGCCAGAAGCTAGATGCAACACGCCCTACACCTCACTGACGTGAAGTCCGCCTGCAGCTACAGCTACTTACATGGGGCCGAAACACCAAAACGGCCCCTATGGGCCCAACAGGGTCTTGAAGGCTCGAAACCTCCAAAGCGGCCCTGTCTGGGCCAGATAGGGTTGTAAGGCTGGAAATCCCCAAAAACGGCCCTAGTAGGGCTTTAAGATCCACACCATCTAACAGAAGCGCTTTTTTACAAAACGAAATCCTAGTATAGTGACGGTTAAGTATCATCGTGTCGGAACTGCTCAATTATCCAATTTTCGCTAATGAAGTCTTACAAGTATAACACGCCTTGGTATAGAAAACTCGCTATGGCAGAATAGACCACTAATTATGAAGACCCTAGGACCCCCGCACCCTGATCCCTCAACCGAGGGTTTAAGCTTTTCGGGGCCTCAGGGTTTAGGGTTTAGGGTTTAGGGTCTAGGGTTTAGGGTTTAGGGTTTCGGGTTTAGGCTTCAGGGTTCCAGGTTTTTGGGGCTTCATAGCTTCTAGGGCTCCTCCAGCCCACCAATCCGCTTGTAGAACTTGACGGTGGGGTTGAAGGCCGGGACCTCCCCGTAGGGCCCCATGGGCTCTGCAGGGCTTAGGGCTCGTATCTTCGGGTAGCTACATGGTCCCGTCATATGGGCCCTTGAAAGGACTCCTTATAAACCCCTTGTATACCCCATACAAAGGGCCCATACTTGAGAACCCTTTAAAGACGGCAAGGGACCATACAAGGTACCCTTAGATGCTAGGGATCTAAGTCCGTTTTAAGGCGTCTCAGGGACTCCGGGCACTTTACTTAGGGGTGGGTTCTAGAGTTTAGGGCTTCGGGTTGAGGATTCCAGTGTTTTCCAGTGGGTCCAGGCCGGAAGCTGACTTCGCTCACATTGAGTTCAGCAGCGAAGGAGCCACGGAAGAGGGCTTCTCGGATTACGGCCTCACAAGAAAAAATCATCTTTCGGACCGTGACGCGCCTAAGCGCCCCAACCCCAACCGCCCAACTTCCTATTCGAATAGGGTTTTGGGGGTTCTTATCGCAGATTTATATAGGGACCATACGGGAATACCATTCGTACTTCTTCCGACCCCTACACTACCCACACCCAATTTCCCGCGCCTCGATGTTGAGAGCGACCAGCTCGATGGCAGGACTGGGCGGCTCGAAACGCAAGCCCTGAAACCTGAAACCCTCAACTTCAACCCCCCCCCCCAAATGCCCTAAAGCCCCTAAAGCCCCCAAAACCCCGAACGCCCCTAGGGCCTAAGGCCCCTAAGGCCCTGAAGCCCCTAAAGCCCCTGCAGCCCCTAAAGCCCCTAAAGCCCCCAAAGCCCCCAAAAAGCCCCTAAAGCCCCTAAACCCCTAAACCCCGTGACGCCTAAACCCCTATCCAAGCCTTTTGGAAACCCGAAAGCCCAAGAACTGCTCGAAAACCTACAGCCTGTTTAGAAGAAACTCAAAAGCCTGAAACCCTACGTGGCCGGAAGCCCTTGAAGACTAGAAAAACAGAAGCCCCCATACCCTAAAATCGTTTAGGGTTTAGGGCTTAGGGAGTTTCACCCCAAAGGCCGCTTCGGTCCTCGAGGCTTAAGGGGACGGTGACTTTCGTTGCTTTGTCGGGCTTTGGGCTTTTAGGGCTTTTAGGGCTTTTAGGGCTTTTAGGGCTTTTAGGGCTTCTAGGGCTTTTAGGGCTTTTAGGGCTTTTAGGGCTTTTAGGGCTTTTAGGGCTTTTAGGGCTTTTAGGGCTTTTAGGGCTTTTAGGGCTTTTAGGGCTTTTAGGGCTTTTAGGGCTTTTAGGGCTTTTAGGGCTTTTAGGGCTTTTAGGGCTTTTAGGGGGCTTTTAGGGCTTTTAGGGCTTTTAGGGCTTTTAGGGCTTTTAGGGCTTTTAGGGCTTTTAGGGCTTTTAGGGCTTTTAGGGCTTTTAGGGCTTTTGGGGCTTTTAGGGCTTTTAGGGCTTGGGGTTTGGGGATTAGGGGTGTTTGGAGGTGTTTGGAGGGGTTTGGAGGGGTTTGGAGGGGTCAGGGTTTTCGGGCTGTTTATAGGGCTTTGGGGTTTTAGCGGCCAGAGCGCAAGACGGATGGGTTCAAGCCCTTGGGTTGGAGTCTCTCAGGGTTTCGGGTTTAGGGGGGAAAGCCACATTGAACACCCTCATAGGGTTTAGGGCTTATGGGCCCTTTTTTGAAGGCACCACAGTTGGAGGTTTAGGGCTTGGGGGGTGTAGGGTTTTAGGGTATAGGGGTTTCTCAAGTCTTGCAGATGCTTCCTCCAGCATTCCACAGGGAAGCGATGGTTGGCGCCACCTTTGTTTTTTGAGCCGAAGCTCCACCAGCTCCAGTGTCCTTGACCGGCGCAAGAAGAAATTCGTCGCATGCTCTTGCTTCAGCAGCAGACCAGCCCCAAGAAATGACAGCTGCTTCTGCAGGGGCAACAGGCCGCTTCCTGCGAGGACCTTGCGGCTTCCTTCTCTCTTCCACGTTGCACGCCCAAGCCTCAGCCCTAAGTCCCTCAAACGCAACACATGCCTAGTTGAAGGACGGAATTCTTCATCAATCAACCCCATACCTAGAGACCTTTTGACCCAGCCAGGTTGTGCCATGTGATTCGCTGCCCCCCAATGCGGGGGGAGAGAGGGGGGAGTCGATCCTATACAGCCCTTACAACCCCTCAGATAAAAACCCACAAACAAGGGCGTAGGGCCTTAGGGTTGTGGGGTTGTGGCTTTGGGGGATTGATGTGGAAGCCAAGTACCTGGCTCGCCTTTCCTTGGCACCATCCGCACTTGCACGCCGCGAGGGGACTGGCGACGTGGCGGAGGGATTGGGGGTACTTGGGAGTGGAGGTGAGCACAAACAATAAAAAGAAGAACACTATTGGCCTTCAGGGTTTCAGTCGGACTTGGAACCCTCAATCCGAAAAACAGAATCCTAAACCCCAAGTTTTCAAATTCGGAACAACCTCCCTCAAGGGCTCAAGGCATTCCGTGAAAGCAGCCGATTTGCGAAAGGTCTCGCATGTATGGGTTAGGGATTTAGAGTTTATGTCTTCAGGGTTCATAGGATTTAGGGTCCACCCATCCAGCTTGAGAGAATTTTACTCTGGCTCCTTGGACTTCAAGGTTCGGGGTAGTCCCAGCCTCGCAGTCCAAGTATCTGGCATCGCCGACCATGGAAGTACCTTCTTAGGTGGTTCAGGGGCTGGGGGCTTAAAGCTTCGGGGGGGGGGGGGGGGGGGGGGGGGGGGGAGGAAGAAAGGCTTTCGGGTGTCGGGTTCAGGGCCCAGGGTTCGGGGCTGTGTGGAGTTGTCGGCTCGGTTTCGAGGCCTGAAACCCAGAGGCCCGAATCCTGATGAAGCAACAAATCCTAAAACCCAATCTCCCGACAGAGGGGTTCAGGGGCTTTCGGGTTTTCAGGTTGGGCCTGTCCGCCTCGCGAAACAATCTTCGGCTGGGCCTCTTCCGACCAAGAACAGGGATTTCATAAAGAAGCAACCATTGCCGTCTTTATCCCCGTCTGAAACCACCCTTTCAAAACCAACTGGGCCCCTCTGGGGACCCCCTATGCCCAAGAGAACCCCCTTTCAGCCCGCCCCTAAACCCTAAACCCGACACCCTGAACCCTAAACCTAAACCCTAAACCCTAAACCCTAGACCCTAAACCCTAAACCCATCTCTCTGCGGCAGATCCGCCTGGTGAAGCCTCCACGCGGGCGTACATGTCAAAGACCTGACAGATGGCAGCTCCGACGCGAGAATTGCCGCTAACATCAACATCCTTTCAAGGCCCCTGACCCTATGTCTGGAAATCTATTGAAAGTTAGCTTTGGGGCTTGCTGAGGGGAGCTGAGGGGAATTTTCTTGGAAGTTAGCTTTGGGGCTTGCTAAGGGGGGGGGAGTTTTATTGGAAGTTAGCTTTGGGGCTTGCTGAAGCGGGAATTTTTTTAGAAGTTAGCTTTGGGGCTTGCTGAGGCGGGGCTTGCTGAGGCGGGAATTTTATTGGAAGTTAGCTTTGGGGCTTGCTGAGGCGGAAATTTTAGGCCTTGAGTGGAGGGGGCGGTCTTTCTGGCGCAGGATTTCCGAGGCGCCCGACAGTATCGGGCTGGCTGACCTGCGTGAAGCACAGGGCGTTCACGGTGGGCTGCATCACCTTTGTGAATCATGAGGTGCTCCAAGTCCGACTGACACCTTAAAATGCCCACACCCACCCCACGCCCCCTCCTGAGGACCAGAACACTTCTCCACAAACCCGCAACGTGCTGGGGGGCATGCATCACCCAGCTCCCTGAAGACACCAGGGCCATCGCCGAGTAGTTCAGCAGGCTCGGTCTCTTGCGCGTCAGCACGCTGGGGTCGATCTGCCCAGGTTTTAGGGCTCAGAGGTTTTGGGGCAAGGGTGGGGCTGAGAGGTACCCAAGTTACACGCGCAGCTCCTTGATCCCCTTGAAGGGCTTTTTTGGGAACGATGAAGGAATCGGGCCGCTGCTCCGAAGCCTGAAGCCCCCACATCCCCTAACCACCGTGGAAACCGCCCGAACCCCCTCCTCATGGGCAGCAAGGGGCAGCAAGGGGTGCCTTGAGCTCGATCGCGAAGGCGCCTGGATCCTTCCTTGGCGTTCAAAGCTCGGCATTTCGGGGCACGCTGGGTGCCCCCGTTTCGGAAAACCTAGCACGTGGGAAGGACGATATCAACTATCAACCACGAAGCGAGGTCTTGGAGTTCAGGCTTTCAGACGTCAGGGCGCCTGGGAACTCAGGAGTTGATGGGCTCCAGCGCTTTTTAGGGTTGCTGAAGGAAAAGCAGCACAAAAAGCTGGTGGAGTTCGGGGTTGAGAACATAAGCAGGGCCTGTCCCAGACCCCAAACCTTGCCCAGCCGCTGGGGCAAGTAGCCCACGCAAACCGACCGCTGGCCATCCGCCCCTGGCGCCCGCCGAGGGGCCAAGGGTTCAGGGTTCAGGGTTTTTGGGCTCAGGGTTTACAGTGGGGTTTAGGTTCCTTTGGTCCGGTTTGATTTGGACCTCTGCCTTGTGAAGCTGCAGCTTCTGAGCAGGCTTTGGGGATTGAGCGCTACTATCATGCGCTCAGGGTTTCGACCAACCTTCAGAATGCGAGGAGCCCTAAGCCCTAACCCATATATGGTTCGGCGTCGGGCGTCCTGCGCCCCCCCCCCCCCCCCCCCCCCCCCCCCCCCCATCCCCCATGGCACCCCAAGACCCTTGACCCTAGCCGAAAAGTCTTAAACCCTAAAGACTAAAACCCTACAGCCTAAACCGTCAACCCTTAATCAGAAAGCCTAAAGCCAAACCCTAAACCCAAACCCGCAAACCTAAAGCCTAAAACCCTACAGCCTAAATCGTCAACCTTTAATAAGAAAGCCTAAACCCAAACCCTAAACCCAAACCCCCAACCACACCACAGGGGGGGGGGGGGGGAAAGTCGAAGGCATTACAAGCAAAACCATAGTAGTATAGTACCATAGTATAGACCCTTTGGGGGGGGGTAGGGGGGGGTGGCCCGCCGGGGCTGAACATAGATAGCCCTTAAGCCCCCTTATTTCCCCTGATCCCTTTACCCCCCCCCTCCGCGCCTGGCCCGTCGCTCAGCACCTGATTCGAGCTCGGAGGAATCTGCGGGCTCGGGGCCTTCGAGGGCCTTTCGCTGCTTTGGCTGCAGGATTTCGGGCTTACCTTTCCATGAAGGAATATACGAATCAAACATAAGAAGGACCAACATAATGATCTGAGGTAGACCCTTTGGGTTCGGACCTCGGGGTGAGGGCTGAAGCGCTCACCTTCGGCCCCCCCCCCCCCCCCGCCTTCATCCCGGCCGCGCCGCACCAGAACTTCAGCTCCTTCTCCCTCTGCTCGTCGTTTCCGATCTCGCTTCGGGTCGTCGGGTTGAAGCGCTCGGAGGGGGTTCGGAGGGGTTCGGAGGGTTCGGAGGGGTTCGGAGGGTGGAGGGTTCGGAAGGGTTCAAAATTTAGAGTGCGGGGCCCGGTTTCGGGGTTCAGGTTTTTTGAGGATTTGGGTTTGGGGTTGCGGGCTTTTGGCTTCAAGGTTCTTTGCCGGGGTACAGCTTGGAGTTGTGGTCTTGGGGTTTTGAGATCCCACCCAGCTCCCGGGCTTAGGGTTCGGGAGTTTAGGGGCTGCGGGGTTTAAGGTTACAGGGGCTCAGCTATCCCTGTTTGTGAGGCCTTTGACGGTTCAAGCTTAGGGTTGAGGTTCAGGGTGAGGATTGAGGATGTTCAAGGTTGAGGGCCTCAGGCTCTCACCTTGCAAACGCCGCTTGAACCTCTTGAGTCCCTAAACGCCAAACAAGTTATTCGCCCCCAACGCTCCCCTCCCCCCCCCCTCCTGTCCTATCACCCCGGAATCACCCCCACCCCCCCACGCCCCACACAACAAGCCTGTCTCATCTGAACTCCATGGGCCCCTGCATCCACCACAACGCGCTGCAGCTTCATCGGGGACGTCTGCGGATCCGGTGCTCCGGCGCTTGGGGACTTAAGGGCCAAGGATTCAAGGGCTCAGGCTCCGAGGGTCTTTAGGGCCTTATAAGGGTTTTAGGGCCCTTCAGGTTGCTCAAGGTATCTAGGGGCAACCACAAGGACTTAAAGGGTGTGAGTTCTGGGCCTCAGTGGCAGCAGCCGAGCTTCTACTCCTTCGGTGAGACCGTCTAGAACCGTCAGACTGAACACTTTAAAGACCCTTAGCTTCGATACATCACATTGCTTGCAGTGTATTCTTGAGACCCCGAAAAAAAAAAAAGAGAGGACTACTAAGTACTAACTACTACGAGCTACTGCCGCCACTGACACCTGCTGAAGATATGATCAGATCCGAAGCCGCCGTGGGCTTGCTGGAGGTGCAAAGCAGAGGGGCGGGAGAAGAAAATGGAGCATGTAATCAAAGCGTATGGACATGCACGCGTGAGTAACGCACATGCACTCACGTGTATATACACACACAACCAAAAGACACACGCACACACACCTCTCTCTCTCTCTCTCTCTCTCTCTCTCTCTCACTCGCAAACTCACCCCACCCCACCCACCCCACCCCCCCCCCCCCCCACCCCACCCCACCCCCCTCACACTTGCATGCACTCGTCATCAACTGCAATATGCTTTTTCGCATGTGTGGAACAGGGCGGTCAGCTCACAAGTCTACAGCGATGTGCGACCTGGGTTGTTAACAAGTAGCCCCCCACACACAGCCTCCAATCAGCAGGCCGAGATCTCGAAGGAGCTCGCCCTGTAGTTGAAACGGCTTCTCGTCACAGTCTGGTGTGCCGCAATCGCACCTGCCATCTGCGCGTCAAACTGCGCGTACGCAGGCACGCCGGCAACATGTGAGCGACGACCTTGACGCCGCAACCGCAAACCTTGATGGAGCTCGCTGCTTGCCCATGGCAGCCAGCGTTGAGGCTGCTGCCCTCTGCGAACAAGCCGCCGTCGACATACACCTTGTCGTTGGTGCTGAACGTGGCATTCGACTTCTTGGCATGTGCCAGCAACACCGTGTCATCAGTCTGCTCACATCCAGATAGGCAATCTGAGATGCCAATCACGATCTCAACATGATTGCGACAAGCCCCACACGAAGACAAGACATTGCTTTGACAAGTGCTGGGCTTGCGGTCATCTAAGCCAGGGCCTGCTTTGGGCAGTGTGCTCCAAGAAACAAACCCTCCGACAGCGTCGTCAACCAATTGCCAAACCGATCCACCTCGACCTTCCCACAGCATCGTCTGGAACAGTTTTGGGTTCAGGGTGTTTGGGTCGAGGGAGGGGGAGGGAGTAGTTCCGATCAGACATTGCGCTTCAGCTCAGAGGGGCATGTTTCTCTGGAACTCTGGGTTTCGGGATGTGCCTGCTTCGGGACCGAAACTCATGATGCACTCCGGCTTCCACCCTAACCCCTCTTGGGCCCTAAGCTCATGGCCTCTGGGCCTCTGAGGATAGGATCTGCGGCTTAAAGGCGTGGAACCAACCCATACTCAACCCACGTCCGTAGAGCAGATATGCTTCATGTTGGCCGAACTAGAGCCGCCGTTCTTACGGGCTTGGGGCTTCGGATGTGACTCCAGGCAAAAACCCACAAAAGCCCAGCGCAGGCCTGGACGGTTGGTGCCACTTCCTGCATCCCAGGGGCTTAGAGCCGGCAGTTTCAAGCCCTAAACCTCAACTAAAAACCTGTAGCCCTTGAACACAAGCACACCTCAGGGTCCTGAAGAAAGTTAGGAGTTACCGTACCTGCAACCCCAAAGACACATCACTAGCTGAAAACTGCTCAAACCCGAAAACTGCCAGTGCAGACAACTGCTGACATAGCGCCCATGGAGCTGAATTCAAACCAATCCCAGATGGCAGATGAGCGTTCTCCTCCATGACTAATCACACCAAAGCCTGACTAGGGTAAGCAGATTGAGTCTGCATTTGGGGATTTAGTCTGGGTGCTCCTATTGTAAGGGCTCTGCTTCTGCTTCTGAGATCGGGCTTCAATGTGTTTAGAATCTCAGCTCTGGCCAAAATCCCGAACCCTGAAACTCTTCTCCAGCACCCTGAACCCTAAATCCTAAACCCCCAAAACTCTGATCGGCCAGCAGTGCACCCTATCAGCCCCGGTGGTCATTCCCATGCCGAAGCATCTGAAGAGCCCTCGACGAGGCCTTTCAGGGTTCACGGCTTTGGCTTTGTCGGGTTTGGTTCTTAGGGCTTGGGGCTTGGGGCTCTGGTTTGGCATTCAGGTGTCAGAGCTTCTATAGGATTTAGGGCCTCTCCCCCTCGCCTCGGCATAAAGCCGGGCGCTGCCAGCGTCAACACCGACAGCGAGAGGTCCCGCGACGACTGCGCACGCGGGCAAAAATGGGGTCGGAAGTGATTCCCCCATTGAGGCCTTGGGCCTTCATGTGGCCTAAAAAGAGGGTTTTTGTGTGGTCCACAAAAACCATAACACCTTGACAGGGTAAAAACCTTGACAGGGAAAGTGGTACAGAGTGCATGAAACCCTCTTGTTGGGACTTGCAGTGGCCAGAGCCGCACAACGAGCCAAATGAGTTTTCCAGTAGATTCCAGCAGATGACAAGTTTATTGGGCTCCGGCTCTGGCACTCGATGTTCCTGAGGATGAGAGAACAGATACTACGGGGTCGCGTTGCAGCTGGCTGCGTCCTTGCGGTACAGTGTACCAATTTTCGCCTGGGTTGCAGAGTGAGTTCCGACAACCGAATATATCAGGCCGGCGTCTGTTGTAAGGGGGGAAGGGGGGAAGGGGCCTAAGTTTTCGGGAAAAAATCTTGTTTTCAACCACCAATGCATCGAAGCAGTAGAGCCCCACAGCGTGGCGAATCCTTCAAACATCAGACATCCAGCTGCGCAAGGGAAGTCGAAAAGAAAGACAAAAGATAGACGAATGGTGAACCCTCTAAGTCCTCGTCCTTCCGGAAACCTTTTCTGTTGGGTGTTTCATTCGCATACGACTATTCTGGGGTCTCGGGATCCTTCTGCAGACTTTCTGGGTTCCCACCTTCAATATCCACATATACCGTAGAATCCACCAAAAGACTCCCTGAAGATCTGCACCTCCTTGGACTCGCAAAACCATACATCAAAAAAAAAAGGAAACAACTTCCAGTCCATCCTAAAACCCCAAACCCAATCCCGATTTCGGAGCCCAGCTGGCGGGGCGGGCAGGGGGGCCTGGGCTCAGACAGCTCCGAAGCCTTGGTCCAGTGAAGAGGGCTGAGGCTTGTGGGTTGAGAAGGTTGAGGGTTGAGGGCTCAGGGTTTGGGGTTCAGGGTTTGGATAGCAGCATAGCAAGGGAAACGAAGTCTCAATGAGGGGGTGTTTGGGTTTGAAAGGGCTATGTTCCAACTTAGGGCCCTAGGGCCCGAGGGTTTTGGGGTTCAGGGTTTAGTTCAGGACTGTGCCTTGCAAAAAAATTGGTGCCCAGAAGTCAAAGCCAAGCCCCGCCCCTTCAACCCTAAAATCACCACAGACCCCAAACCCTGTGCCCTTGCTTCGTTGCAGACTTGTCAGCCCATAAACCCGAGTGCGGACAAGCGAGGAGCAATCTCTCAGCCGGCTGGATCCAGGGTCAGGGATTAGCTGGGGGTTTGATGGTAGCTTTCAGGACTTCAGTGAGGTGAAGCCACGAAGCTCTCGATCTTCAAGAAGCCCCAACGACGTGTGTGTTTCCACTCTTCCAAGAGATCCCTGAGACCCGAGTGAAGACTTTTATGCTGGCGGCTGGGGAGGCCTCCCTAAACCCCTAAAACCCCTGAACCCTTAAACCATCAAACCCTTCAACCCTAAACCCTAAACCCCGGAAATCCCTGAAGCCCTGAACCCCTAAACATCTAAACTATCTAAACCCCAAGCCCTGCGTCTTTGGGCTCCGGGCCCTCATGGCCATTGCGGCCGCCCGCGCGACCACCTTCCGCCTCCCGGCAACTGGCTCAGGGTCGGGTCAAGCCCTCTTGTGCTTCATAGTATCTATACAGGAGCCTAGCCCACATACTGGGACCAGAAACACTAAAGACCCTAAACCGCCTAAACCCCTCGTCTGGGCGGACACTCCGAAGCCGCGTTCGGTTGACTTTTGGGGGACTTGTGCTCCAGGGATCCGTGTTCGTGCCAAGATGCCGGCGCCCCTCTCAACCCTCAAGGAACGCAAGCCCGAAGCCCGAAGGGTTTAGGGTTCACTTAGGGTTTTGTCCCTGACAACTCCATACTGCCCCCCAGCTAAAAATATTGTTCTTTTATATACGCATATATATATATATATGTATATACACACATAAGCATACATAAACATACATATAGGGAAGTGTCCTGCATGCATCACTCACGCACATGTCAGGGCTTCGGACTCAGCCTCTCTAAACTCCTAATTAAATCCCTGAGATGGGAGACTGCCTCTTCGCCACAACGCCTGCCACCAAAACTGAGGTGGCCGCTACAATTGCCGACGGTACACCTCGGTTTAGGGCTTAGGGCTTGGCGCCTCTGGGGCTTAGGCTCGAGGGCTCAGGGGTCATATAGCTTAGGGTCGAACTAGCTGTATCAGGCTTTGGGGGTATTTAGGGTTTAGGGTCTCGGGCCTAGGTGTACTGGGGCTTAAGGGTGTGAGGGTTGAGAGGAGGAGTGGCTGGCTTCAAGGGTTGGCCGATCCTCTCCAAAAGGCGGATTGTATATGCACAAACGGCGGACCTAGTTGGGTATAGACGAATATCTATACTCCCCTTGGAAGCTTAATAACAATCAAATTCTATTTTGAATATTCCCTTCGGTTCTATATACATAAAGATGCCTAAGGGTGCTACAGATATGGGTATAAGTATGACCACTAAGTATCTGGTGCGGCTCCCAAGGCTGCAGGAAAATGGGGGTGAGGATGTTACGTTGCCCCCCCCCGTGGGAACGACACTCTTTTGATGTGAAGCAGCGTTCGAGGCCTGATATTCCACGCTTTCTGAGGGTGGCCCGAATTTGTTTGCATGCCCATAAGACCCAGACTGAGGAAAGCCGCCCAGCAGAACATCAGACCGGGTAACACCGCGAAATCACAATGCCCTAAACCCTAAACCCCTTGCACCCCCAAAACCCAGACCCTCCCACAAACCCCCTGAACACCTCTCAACCCCCCTGAGAACCCCCCCCTGAACCCCCCGAACCCTACACCCTAAACCCCAGAACACATGCAGGCAAAGAGGCCCGGCTCCGGTACTCCGCGCCTCGCCCGGATCTGCGTGCCAGGCCTGCGAAGGAGTTGAGGGGTTTAAGGCGTGCGAGGGTTCTAAGTTTAGGGTGTAGGGTTTAGGGTTTAGGGTTTAGGGTTTAGGGTTTAGGGTTTAGGGTTCAGGGTTTAGGGTTTAGAGGCCTTAAGAGTTGAGCCTGCCTCACGAGTGATCTGGAGCAGTCCTCATTGCCAATCGCATGCCTCAAAGCCTTCAACCCCTCACAAGCCCCGCGACGGCAACGGCCTAAAGCCCAACGACTCTATCACCTCCTATCACCCTGTAGCCCGGGAACCCATACAGACCTACGGAAAACTGACGAAAAACCTACGAAACCCTGTGCTCTGTACTTCTATCACCCTCTATAGAACCTACCAAAAAGCCTACAAAAGCCCCAAATCCCCCAACTCAAGTCCTCAGCCTTGGCACGGGCAGCGTGGAGGGCGTGGCGCCCACAGCAAACGCCTGGGGAAGATCCCAGCATCCGAAAACCGATTTCAAAGAAATCTAAAGATGGCCCTAAACGTGGCCCTGAAGGTAGTTTAGGGCTGACGAGTTCACAGAGCCACGCTAAAGCTTAGGGCCAAATCCCTCTGAGGCTGTGTAATTTCCAGCACCTCGCTGTGTGTTCCATATGCTGTCTTCTGCGTATATACGCCGTTACTAGACCATGCTATCGGCTATGCTCTCCCATGCTAAGCTAGGCTACAGAATCTAAACCCCCCGGAGCTCCTTGGCGAGGAGCGCCATGGCAGCTAAGGGAGCTTCAGGCGCCGGAAGGCTTCCACGTTCAGCGGCTCAATTGTGGCACATGCTGTCCCTAAGGCCCTTGCTGAAGCTTCCTCTTTGCGCTGGGATGCGTTGCCTTCATGCCATGGTCTACTGCTGAAAGCCTGGGAGGGTTTCCCCAAGATGCCACATCCACGGTGTCTTTGGCCTTTTGGTTTTTCTGGACATCCCCCCCTGGACTTGTTGAATGACTGTGTTCCTTCAGGGTAGGGAGCTCAAATCCCAACAGCCTCTAAGTCTTGAAGACGTGAACCCAACCTCACCGAACCAACCTTTCCTACGTTGAGGTTCATGGATGGTCGGGGGCCTACAGGGCTTCGGTTTGAGGCAGGCACACATAAGAGTCAGGCAGCTACTATGCCCACCTGGGGGCTCATGTTGTATCTCGGTAGTTTACCGGTAGAAGCCCTGGGCGCTCGAGTAAAAGGTGACTCGATCACAGCACAGCCTCGCGAGATTTTGTAGGGTCGAGGGCCCCACCACCTACCTTCAAGCGTACAGCTGTAGGTCTTTTGGGGTCGAAAGGAAGATAAGCCTCCAAAGCCCGATTGAAGCCCCTAAAACCGCCCTCCAACTCCCAAAAACCCAACCCTTCGCCGCTCAACCCTTGAACAGCCCTTAACCCCTCAACCCTTAAACCTTAAACCCTAAACCCTTTTGGGCTTCACTGGGCGAAGCTCTTGTGTGTCAGCTCCACGCCCGAGTCCGACCCCCCAGAAGCAAGAGCCAGACCTTGCGCTTGGGTAGCTTAGGGTTTGTGGTTTGGGTCGGTTGGGGCAACATGTCCGGCACCTGAGCCCAAGACTCGCAAAATACAAGTCCCAAATGAAGGCTGACAGCAATGATTGACCGGCAAGATAGCATCAGGCCGCAGATAGATATACCTACGCCTATATAGTGGACCTTCAAGGCGGCCTTCCAACTCAGAATCAGGGGCCTAGAACTTCCAGCTCGGCGTTCCCGGCGTTCCCACCTAAACCCTAAACCCCAAACCCCAAACCCTAAACCCTAAACCCCTACACCCTAAACCCTAAAACCCTAAACCCCTCAAATCCAAGCCCAGCGGCCGGAGTCGCTGAGGAGCCGCGCCCGCGGCCGTGCTGCCGCGAAGCGCCAGCGCAGGAAAACTGCCGCCACAGCGGCAGCCAGAACCTCACGTGCAGCATCACTTGGGGTTTAGGGCTTAGGGTTTAGGGTTTCGGGTTTAGGGTTTAGGGTTTAGGGTTTGGGGTTTGGGGTTTGGGGTCTAGGGTTTAGGGTTTAGGGTTTAGGGTTTAGGGTTTAGGGTTTAGGGTTTAGGGTTTAGGGTTTAGGGTTTGCTAAAAGGGCGTAGATGCTGTGAAGGTTAGGATGCAGCAGAGGCTCGAAGCCTCGTCAGGTGCGAAGAGCAGGTCTGGCCCGATTGTGGAAGGCCATCTAGCACCATTTCCCACCCCACGCCGTCCAAGGCGGCAAAGCCAGCCTAACCTATTCCTTTTACGGTTTCGGCCTAAACTCAGGACAAGTGCTTACTTCCAATAACATGTCTTCCATCACCAATTCGCTTGCAGCCAAGCACAAGGGGTTTCAGGGGTCGCAGGGAACGGCCAGGAGGTCCAGGTGCTGAGGGGGTACTGGGCACGCTGCTGCGAAAGGTCCGAGACCCCCTGGGGCTGGGTACCCCCCCCGCCCCCCAACGCCGGGCTGCAAGGCTTGTGGTTTGGTGCCGATTTTTGACCGAGCTGTGGAGGCGGACCTGGTCGGCTTGCGCCATCGAGGTCGAGGGGTTTAGGCGCCGCCGCCCAACGTAGGGGGGCGGCCTAGGTAGGGTTTAGGGCTTAGGGTTTAGGGTTTCGGGTTTAGGGTTTAGGGTTTGGGGTTTGGGGTTTAGGTTTTGGGTTTTTGGTTTTAGGGCTTAGGGAAACGTGGTGCTCCCCAAACCGGAGGGTTCAGGGCTTGGGGCTTAGGGTTCAGGGCTTCGGGTTCAAGGTCTTTGGGCGTGGGGAGGCTTCCGGGGGAGTACAGAGCTTCGTGGCTTCAGGAATTGAAGGGATGTACAAGGGGGGTCAAAAAGGAGTCTGTTGGGCATGTTGGGGTCCACAGGGCATCTGGGGCATCTAGGGTGTAGAGAGATTGAGGTGGCCGAAGTCCCCAACAAGACACTTCACCCCAAGTCTCCACGTGGGCACAAACTGCTTCCAGAAAGCAGTTTTCGTCAACTCCTAAACTGAGCCCTAAACCCTAAACCCTGAACCCTTAAATCCTAAGCCCTAAACCCCAAACTCTCCTGGCAAGGCACGCCCAACGTAGCCCAAAGCCACCAGGGAGGTTGCGGCTCCGGCAAGACCATCTCACCTGGGCTGGGGTCCGGGGATTCACGTTTGGGGGGTTACTCGGGTTGGTTTTGGGGTTTGGGGCCTTAGGGGGGTTTGGGTTGGGATGTTCCCTAACAAATCCCTGCTAGTATAAGGGGACAACATCCCAAGGTTTGGGTGTTGGGGTTTCGAGGGTTTTTGGGCTGCAAGCTAACGCCTCGGAAGGCCTGGCCTGCAAACTGGGGCCCTTCTTTCTGGCATCCTAGTTGCGAAGATTCCCCTAGAAGGAAGGGTTCGACTACCTCTAAGTCCCCAAGAGGTCCCCCCTGGACTGGTTCCGGGCTTCAGACGACATCAGTCGGAAGGACGGAAGGATCGCACCCCTAGCAGTTCTAAGCATCTCAGGGCATCCCCCCAAGGTCCCATCTTCGAGCAAGTGGCCCAAGAGGGTGGCGCGCATGTCATTCAGGACATGCTGCACCAGGGTCATGTATTTCTGATCCTGGAAAACCTCCAGGTGGGGGTTCAGGTTTAAGTCTTCAGGGCTCTTTGCCTCAAGGCTGTGAGCCAGCCGGGAACCCCGAAATGCCGAAAGAGACCCGCGGCCCCAACGGACGAAACGTGCCAAAGGTTTCTCGGTTCGGGTGTTGGGTGTTCGGTTTTGGGGGTTTAGGCGGCGGGGGGGGGGGGTTTATTACTGGGCTGATATCCAAACTATTAGCCCAGTTTTGGCCCTATCAAGATCCATGCTAATCCACCCGTGCATTTGTAGAGTTTGCAAGGGTTTCGGGGTCTTCAAGCTTGTTTAAGATTTGCGAGGGCCCCGAAAATCACAAACGCGCAGCTCTCAAAACCCCATAAGGCCCTGTAGGTTTGGGAACCCGCCCTGCCTTCCCATGTGAAACGTACCTTGGTTTCTTGGATCATCGTGCTGGTCTAGGACGGCTGGGATTGTTGGGTCTCCCATAGCTCTACGATGTTCTGAGAGTTCAGGGCTTACCCTTTAGACCTCGCTCGCTCCCACACCCCGAAACCCTGAACCCTACACGACGGCGGCCAGGGCCGCGAATCCCCATTGATAATGTGCACAGTCCCCGGTGTGCTGTGAGGACGAAGCAACAGTGGCGGGTTGATTATCCCAATCGCTGTGGCGAGCTGCCCGTGAGCTGGCAAAACGGACTGTGTAGACAAATGCCCCCTGGAAGAGTCCAGCATTGAGCCCAATATTTTCGGCCATGAGAAGTGTCTTTGCGCAGGCATGCGTGGAGGTCACCCAGGGATGCCGAAGGCGAGAAAAGACCTTCAGGCCACCGCAGATGGCCTGCGCAATCACCTTTACTGCGACGTGTTGTCTCCCTACCATTCCATACGTTCTTGTTGCGTGGCTTGTCTTCACTCCGAATGCCGTCGGTGTCAGCTCCCCAGATTGGCACCAAATTGTCGGAAACAGTTGGCAAAGACGACCGCGTCCTTCTGCCAATCGGCTCTTTGGCTTGGTAAAGTTGCGGGAGTAGGGTTGGTGAGGGAGAAAGAAAGAGTAGTCAGTTGCTACGAACCCTGAAGCGCTCTCAAGGCCCTTCGTGTGTCGAATGCCCGCAAACTGCTCCTGGCAAAGGTACCAGCAGCCACGTTCCAGCAATGCCTCAACTCCGAAACGTCAGAAGCCTAAAGTGCCCAGGCGCGTGGGCAGGGCAGACTCATGGGACTGGCTTTGGCGCATGAGCCTCAGAGCATTCCCCCAAAAATCCCAGCTCCCACACCCTCTGAAAGACTGAAGTCCCTGCACTTTGCCGCCACTTTCTCTGAGGGCTTTCAGGTTGGAATCGAGAAATTCCCGAGAGCTTCAGGGTTTAGGGCTTATACGATTTTGGGGACTGCCGGGTTTGCATCGCAGCGGGGGGCGGGGCCTTTCTAGGAGTCAAGGCGCACTCGGACAGTGACCTCGTCTCCAGCATCCCTGTTTTTGAGAAGCTCGTAGGCCTCTCAGAAGCAGAACTAGGGGCTTTGGGGGCAACAGGGGGCCACGCCCCACCTGCAAGGGGGTACCATTTTGGGGTCCTTGTTGTAAGGGGATCCTACTATTTAGGAGCGTCCCTGATTTTCGTAAACCCCCACCTGAGTGAAGCTCATGTTCTTGTACTCGGGTTCGAGGTTCCCTGGCGACTTGTCGCCTCGGAAGTTCCGGAGCATGAGCATCCACCAGCCCTGCATCCTGCATGACGTGGTATACACTGCGTACACTACGCTGAACTTCTAACTCCCTAAACTTTAGGCCTAGGCCACTACCCGTGTAGCACCGAGGATGGGTACCGGAGCCTGTTCTCCCCGAGACTGGGACTTGTCATCTAAAAAACTCGGGATGGTGGGGGGGGGGGGGGGTATTCGATCCTGGAGACGAAACGAGGGCCAAAAAATACCATAAGGGCCTTTCACCCCTGGTATTCAAGCTTGCCAAAATTTTCAGCATATCTAGGGTTAGGATTGTTTGTCTGGGGGTTTAAAAACGCCTGTGAAGCCCCGAAACCCGGAACCCGGAAAGCCCTAAAACCTCAATGCCAAAAGCAATTTTGACACCTTGGCAGCACCACGTTGATGGTTGTCCGTTCACCCTGAAAGCTGCACCCTACACCCTCTGATAGTCCTAACTGTTGGGAGCTCTCAAACACCTCTCAAAACCAATAAACTCCCCCCCAGCAAACCAGGTTCAAGTTGCTAGCCAGGTAGTTCCTGGGCTCGGGCGCGGGGGTTTGGAGCCGAGGTTGGGTGGGGTTGGATCGGGAGTTCTTGGGCGTGCTTTTTGTCCAGGGAGGCGTACGGTTTTGAGGATTTGTGATTTTTTTGGTGGGGGTCTGGGAGTTAGTGTTTAGGACCTCGCCTTCTCGCGAGGCCTGGTTGTCGGGGACTTGAAACGGGGTGTTCATGTCACTCCTTCGCCCTTTCTGGCACAACTCCAAAGGAGCAGACAACTCACAACAAAGCCCGCCAACACCCCGGGTAAGTGCAGAGGACATGGACATGACCCGGGCTTTTGAGTGCGACTCCTAACCCGACATATCGCCATGTTTCGAGGATGGCAAAAATGGACAAAGCTGGGTTTAGGGTTTAGGGTTTAGGGTTTCGGGTTCAGGGTTTAGGGTTGAGGGTTTAGGGTTTGGGGATTTCTCATTCCTCAAGCATCGGCAACGCCATGCCACAGACAAGTCATTGGCATTGCTTTTCGGGAATCAACAATACCATTCCAACACCACTTTCTTCTGTTCTTGTGTGATTCGAGTACTGTTCCCTCTAGTGAACTTGGAACCTAGCAGGAAATATAAGTACCCAAAAAATAAAGAAAGCTCCTGAAAGGCCATCCTCACCGAGCTGCGTGCTGACGTAGGCCAAGCGATCGGCCAGCTCCTGCAACAGGGGCAAGTTTGGGGTTCAGGGCGTGTAGGGTTGAGGGTCACCGCGTTCAGACCCTCTGGGCCTAGACACGGGTGTTCGGTACGCACCCTCATGCTTAGACCATTGGGTCACTGCATCTGACTCGGACATTTCGGGGTGTCTGCACCATGGCAGCAGCGTTGCATCATCCATTCCCCCTCTTCCGAATTCTTCGCAATGTGCAGGGAGGGTTCATTCTCAAGGGTGCCTTCTGAATATTCACAACAGCCTGCTCATAGTGTAGCATTTAGCATTAATCAGCAGAACACCGGTCTGTTTGCAGTCCGACCCCGTAGACCCTGCGAGCGCTTAGCCTTGGATGCTCCAAAGTCCTTCCACTGACAAACCCCCGAAACCCCTCGAACCTAAACCATAAACCCCTCGAACCTAAACCATAAACCCACAACCCATAACGGCGTCTTGCAGCCCAAAAGCGGGCGCGAACACCATCTGGAGGAGGACGCGGCTCCATCCCTCGCCGAGGTCCTAAGGCTATATTTATCGGGTTTGAGGTTTAGGGTTCTTACTTCGGGTTTAGGGTTGTAGGGTTTAGGACGTGTAGAAAATCTTCGGGATTGACGTTTGGGGCCAGAAGGGTTTTGGGGTTTAGGGTGTAGGGTCTGCGGGCTCTAGGGCTGTTGTTGAATGGTTGCGACGTGCGTCGCTGTTCGAGGCGGGGGGCCGTTTCAACCCTCGGACAATTATTCCCAAACAAATCCTTCTTAGACTCCTGGATACCAAACCTGGGAAATTATTCGCCTCGGCTTCCTGCCGAGAAGCGTCGGGAACAAGCAGACCCGGATCGGGCCTCCTTCCCCCTAACCCAACCCTTCCCCCCCAATGCCAAATTTTCTGACGCCACCCCCCCCCCCCCGCCCTGTGGGACCCCCCCCAATCCCTTGGAGCCCCCCCCCCCCCCCCTCACCCCCCCCCCGACCCTGCCCTTCCTCCTTTTTTTGCGAAACCCTCTTTCCTCCTTTCCTGTCCTGGGGCAGGCTTGGCTGCCGAGGCGGCGCGCGCAAGCTCTCCCTTTCAACCCTAAACCCTAATCCCTAATCCCTAGACCCGTAAACCGGGGCCTCCAGCTAGAGTTTTGAGGGCCTTAAGGTTTGGGGTTTCGGGTCCGGGGTTTGGGACCTAAAGCTTGGGGGGCACTCAAAGGCCCTCTTTCAGGGCCTCCGGGAAGTCATGGCCCCCGATTGGGAACCCCCGGGCACGCCTCCGAGTGCTTGGCCGTGTCCTCCGGGACGGCCGCGGGCGGGGGAAGAGCAGCAAAGGCTTGGGGACAATCAGCCCTGAAACCCTGAACGGTTTTGGGGACCCTCAGCCCTAAACCCCTAAAAGGCGCGGGGCCTCGGGCTGCTGCAAGCTTCAGCTTACGTTGCCGCAAAAAGGAAACCCCGTTCCCCTCTCTATGGTAGCTTAACCTAAGCTTGGTGACACCGTCCATTTGGCCCTGGTTCTCAGTCCCCTGGAACACGAAACCCCCAAACCCCAAACCCCAAACCAGCCATAAACCCGAAATTGAAAGCCCTCAATCCTAAACACTCCTGGTCCAGCAGGCGGATGGCATCCTTCGTCTGTCGGCTGGCCTGGGCCGAGGCCAGTGTCAGAAGGGCGCAGGGATGCCAAGTCGAAGCATCCACCGGCTTAGGGGAAAGCCCGGGCCAAAGACTACATGGGATCCTGGGTTTGGGGCGTGGAACACTGTATAGACCTTTTTGTCTTGCAGCTTACACAGGCCATCCGACGGTCGTTGTGGGGGAGTGGTAGGAGGCCTTGATGATGATAATGACTTCCAGTGGCTCAGGTTCGACTCAGGGTTTAGACGGTGTCAAGCCCGAGACCCCACCCCAAGCTCAAAGACTTAGCCCTTCGAAGCCCTAGTAACTTTAGATGTCTGAGAAGCCGGGAGCTGCCCAGGACTCTGCCGGATACTGCTTCATTCCCAGAAGCACAGCAGAACTGAAAGTGGCGAACTCTCTCTCGTTGAGTGAAAGTCCTTAAGGGGTTCTTGCGCTAAGGGCCTTGCGCCTTGAGCAGTTCAAACATGTTCAAACCCCCGGGCACGTGTGAAAAAAAAACAAAGTGCGGGCAGCGTGGCAATGGCGTCTAAGTCCCGCTTCGCCACCACCAGAGGGAAAGGACCACGGTTCCCTCCGCAGGTTTTCCGGGATTGAGGCGTTTAAAGGGCTCTTGGGGCTTTAGGGTTTAAGGATCTACGGGCTCTTGGATTTTGGCGTTGTAGGCTTAGGGAGTGGCATTAATGTACACCTCTACGCAGTAGTGTGAAGACATGCACACTCCGAGTCCGCCCAAACAGTACTTGGAACGAAGCAGCTCAAATCTCAGCCGAACTCAAGCCAGCCGTACCGAATCATACCTTCGCATATGAGGGCCCACCCATGCCCTGAGGCAGAGTTGTCGAAGGATGCCTTGCAAAGAACTTTAGTTCAGTGCTGTGATAAAGTTGGGGGTTTGTGTCCAGATTTCTGCGTGGGAAAAGTTTTAGGTTTTGCGTTCGACGGCCGGAGGGCCTTCTCGGGCGCTTTTCTCCTTCTTTCTGGACTTCCGCTCTGGGGAACGTTTAGATGAAGTAGGGCTTATATTCTTGTATCCCCAATAGGACACCCAATATATACATGGAAACCATTATACACTCGCCAGTAACAGTAGTGTAAACCCTGCTTCATGTAGTCTTGAGGTTGGGAACGTTTCCTGGAGAAGGCCCACACTCCCCTGAGGTTTTGCAGGTTCCCAGATGGCGGCTCTTTGGCCAAACCCATGCGTTGTGCATAGTCGGCTTTCCGCACTTCTTTGAACCCCAAACCCGAAGCTCTGCTTTGAAATCGCAAAAAAAACCTCCAAGCACCCCCCAAACTTTGAACTCTACGCACAGAGACCCGAAATTTCTGCCGGTGCCTCGCCAGCAAGGGCCCATAATCGCCTCCTTCATTCGAAAACCTGTGGGGCGGCTTCATAGGATATAGGATGACAGTATCGTGACACCGTGACCACCGCATGTTTCGGGCTGGGGCTTCTCCCGGCTCTTTGCTGCTCTTGGGTCCGACTGCATTTGGAGAAAAACATGGGTCCTGAAGGGTCCAATAAAGCCTGGGCCTAGGGCCTAGGGCCTCCGACACCCGGCATTAGGTCAGTCTAGCAAAGGCCAAGGGCCTACTGTGGGTGGACGAAATCTTGCACCGCTTTTGAACCACGCAATAGGCCAACAAACCCGCGCCCCCTTTTGAACATTGGCTTTGGACAGGCTTCGGCGCTGACTTGTTCCAATGACCAAAATCTTCCTGGAAAGCAACGCCTGCCAATGTTAAACAGGGGTTGCGACATGTGAAGGCCGTGACCGGAGCGAAAGCGTGTCTGTGACGATGGTGGGCCCCGTCCCGTTGTGTTGAAGTTGCTCGCGATCCCTGGCTGAGGTGTCCAGCCCAGCGGTGGAACCCTGCCGCTCCATGAAAGCTTTGTCAGTTGCGACATCACTCGAGTCGAAGATGTCATGATGTTCCCTCCTGTGATGGGACCTCTGCACGTCACTTTACGATCATGTTCATCGGCAGCAGCTTTCTGACAACGGTGGTCGATCTTGCGCTCTCGGGCAGGCTCTACAGACTTATCATTGGAGCTTCCGCAAACTTTGCGGCTATGGGACGCTTTGACGAAGGCACGCATTGGTGGCGCACGCCCTTTCAGAAGAACTGTGCATTCCTATTTGCCCCGGGGTCAGTAGTCGGAGTGTAGAAAGAAATTCGAGCGAATCACAAAAGAATCTTGCAGCACCAACGTGTGCTCGCGTGCGAACTCGAGATCAACAGCTGATGCTTCCCGTGAATCACCTAAGCAACTTGTCATCTCACTTGCTTTCCAATCCCGAAGGTGCACATCCGAAGACTTTTCGGGTCTGCCTTTTCTCGACAAGGCTGTAGTTGCAACTCACCCTTAGTTTCCCTTTGTCCCAGCCACAGAAGCCCGAGCCCCGGAGCAAAAAAGGTAATAGAAGGAAGCCGAGCGTCGCATGAAAGTGGCACACTGAAGCAGCGAAAGGAGGTTGCGGACCCTCTCCTGGCAGCAGGGTTTAGGGTGTAGGGTTTAGGGTTTAGGGCTTAGGGTTTAGGGCTTAGGGTTCAGGGTTTAGGGTTTAGGGTGTGCTATTTGGGGCTTGAGAACCCTAAGAATACCCCTTGATGTCAACATCCCGAACCTGGGACCCACCTTAGACGCCGAAGCCTAAACCCCCCGAAACCCTTCCAAGGCGTCCCCCTCTCATACTCAAAGGACCCCACGTGCATCTCCGAACTTGGGTGACTTAGCCCTAGAGTCGTCGTGGACTATACCCTGGATGTTCTTTTGTTTCTCGGCAATTGCGGGGCTACAGTCTCATAGTTGTTCCAAACTCAAGTTCCTACGGTAAGGTGCAAACCAGTCAACACCAACATCACCCCAAAACTCTGCAAACCAGTCAAGCCCACGGACTGGCATAGAGAACAGGGGGTTTAGAACCACATGCCATTTTCAGGTGGCATGCAAAGGCCAGCTTGTATAAGCAGTTGCCCAACGGCAGCAGAGAACGAAAGAGATCCATTGCCGCTGCAAATCCTAGGCTTTGCCAAGCCCTACCACACCTGCAAGGCAGATGCATGAGACGTCGGATCTTATGGCTTCTGACTTCGACTCCTTCACATCATCCGTGGAGTTCCTGAGCATGAGCTCGAGAAGCGGAAGCCTGCGACCAGATGTGGCAAAACTGCAGCTTTGGAGTTTAAGGCTCTTAGGGCTGTTAAGCCTTAGGGTTTCAGAGGTCTAAGGGCTCAGGTCACAAGGACCCTCGAACTGCTGGGACTGAACTGCGAGAAACCCGGCTTGTGCGCAACTTACAGGTGGAAGAGGTAGCTGAGGGCTTAAGGTGTGTAGGGTAAACAACACGAAGCCCTTGCAGCGTAGCCGTAGCTCAAGCCATTGGAATCTGAGACCCAAATAATTGCACTCCAAAACCTTAAGCCCCGTCAAGCCCAAAACCCGATACCTCAACAAGACCTACTGGTTCTGAGTCATCCCTAGAAGCGCTCCGCCTGTCCCCAAGGTCTCCAGCTTGTCCATTGTGGCCTGAGGGCTTGATGGCACGGGAGATTTGGAGGGGCTTAATTTTTGGGGCTTAGAAAGTCGCAGGGCTTGCAGCCATGCCCACCGCAACCGCCCACTTTGCACTCCCAGGTTTGAGGCTTTCTCTCCATGCTTCGTACAACGAACGCCAGATGCATGGGGTGACACACCACGACCAAGGCGAGCCTCTGCACACGAACCGGTTTTGCGAAAGGGGTTGCCGGACACAACTTGTAAAACCCTCAACACGAAGCTTGCGGGCAGATGGGCTCTACCCTAAACCCAAAAGTTCGAAACCCATGTACAAGAACCCAATGTAAAGCCCTGTGAACTGGGGTTGAGCTCGGGTGGAACGCGGCTCGTGTCTGTAGTTCCTTGCACTGGTCTAGAACTCCCCGGGCCCCCGCCTCGAATTTTAGGGCTTAGGGTTTAGGGCTTCGGGTGTGGGACGTCAAAGATGGCAGGAACACGTGTGTTCGGATTCTGGGCTTCGCTTCTTGCTTCTCCTTTACACCCTCACTCCTTGGATTTCGGAACATGGACTCGGCCCTGCAACTAGAATCCGAGGGTTGAGACTTCTGCGCGTTTGTCCAGCTTTGGGGCGCGGACCCCTTCATGCTTCTTATCCCTTTTGCCGAATATCCGAACTACACTGTGATCCGAAATACACTGTGATAGAATACCCTTCCATGAAGTCTAAACCCTAAATACACACCATGATAGAATCCCCCCCCCGCTCCAAGGGCTTTTTGGTCTGGCCGGATATCAGGATGCATCTGCTTGATACCAGGGAGCCATTGAGTTCGGCAGTGAGATCTGCGGCGGGCTTCATCGGGTCGAGGAACCTCGTTCTCGGGTTGGGGGTGGGAGGGTTGGGGCTTTGAAGCTTTCAGGGCTCCCTGATGTTGCTCTCGGCTTAGTATCGTTGAGCCCCACCCCCCTCAGCACTTTTTGGATGCCCTCAATGGTGTGAAATTGAGGGCTTGAGAGGTTGAGAGGTGGAGGGGTCGAGGGACGTAGCCTTCAAGGAGCTGAGGGGTTAAGAGGGAGGGAAAAGTGTTTCTTTGCCCCCGCCCCTGGGATCCCCGGGTCGCAAACTTCGCAATTTTCCAGGGAACCTTGTCAACGGGCGGGGCTGAATTAAATTGTCCTACCATGCATAGTAGCGGGCAATGTAAAGAAATCGGGAGCAACACTCAGAGGAAACCGTAAATCCTGTCTCCATCAAGCCCAATTCCCAAAGTGCTGGCCTCGCAGTTCTAGCAGCAACATCGAGAGTAGCAAGTGCAGTCGTCGTGGTAGTGGCAGCGGTAGTAGTATAGTGGTAGTGCTAGCTAGCAGGACAAACAGCTGTAGTAGCCGTAGGAACTCCAGTAGTACCGCTGATCATCTAGGTTGGCCCGTCGAACCCTCTGAGCAATGCTTCTTAAAACTCCAATGAGGAAAATTGCCTAGCCAAAAAACCTAACCCTAAACCCTAAACCCTAAACTCTAAACCCTAACCCCAAACCCTAAACGCTAAACACCCTAAACCCGAAATCCTAAACCCTCAAACCTTAAACCCACCCAAACTCATCGGAGGGGCTGCTCCCAGGCACTTTGCCGCTCTGTCTGCCAGGCATCGGTCGTCGCAGACCCCAAAAGGTTGAGGTTGGCTTTCCTGGGCTTTGTAGGGTTTCAGGGTTTTAGGGAGTTCGGGTTTTAGGGTTTAGGGTTTAGGGTTTAGGGTTTAGGGTTTAGGGTTTAGGGTTTAGGGTTTAGGGTTTAGGGTTTAGGGTTTAGGGTTTAGGGTTTAGGGTTTAGGGTTTAGGGTTTAGGGTTTAGGGTTTAGGGGAATCGCGGAGGGAAAGGGGCCATCAACGGGGTCATAAAGGAACTGCGCACCCGTGAGGGCTTCGTTTGACTCTCGGTGCCTCAGGTCCCCAAAAGAAAGGCAGACCTTCGACAATTTCTTGGGGTTTTGGGGTCGAGGGTTTAAGCATTTTCTTGGTGATTCGCACATTCGCCGCCTCAAGTTCGCGCGAGATCTCACATTCCCAACAAAGCCACCCCAAACCCTGAACCCTAAACCCCAAACCCAAAATCCAAACCCTAAACCCCAAACCCAAACCCCAAACCCTAAACCCTAAACACTAGAAACCCACAAGCCTAACAATGGTTGAGCCGCATGAGCCGATCCGGTACCCCCACCGTCGCCAACAGGCCATCAAAATGGCTCCTGAGCGGGGCGCGCGGTTTAGGGTTTAGGGCTTAGGGTTTAGGGCCTAGGGCTTTCATGCTCAGCTTTAGGAAAGCTCCTTGTTTGCTTTTGCCGCAAAGTACCTTTTGTGTTTCTTGCTTGACGTAAGTATCAGAAACTACAACTCCTAAAGCGAGAGAAGCTGAGGGTATCACGGGGTGTCCGAATTAGGCTTAGACACGCGGAATCTCAAGGGACTAAGACTCATACCTCTGAGGTTGTACCCGAAAAGCTTCCCCTGAATTAAATCCGAACATGGCTTGCTTATATTCTTTATTATCCCCTTTGGAATCAATAAGGGCCCCCAAACCCAAGGGTACTCAAGCATGCGAATGCCCCAGCTCTGCAGGACCAGCCTTTCCCCACTTTTTGAGCCACATAGGGTTTAGGGTTTGGGGTGTAGGGTCACTTCTGGGAATATATACGACCCCGTACCCAGGAGCAACCGTTCTTCTTCCGGGTAGAAAGGAGTAGAGGACCCCATAAAACAGGCAAACAGCCCCGTGACATCCCAAACCCGAAATGCCCTAAACACACTTTTCCTCTAACCTTTCCAGGGCGCGGGTGCTGCGAGTCCCTCCAGGCGCCGACCTATCCAAGCTTTCGGTGTGCGGTTTGGAGTTTGGGGTTTAGGGTTTGGAGTTTAGGGTTTAGGGTTTGGGGTTTGGGGTCTGGGGGTTTTGGGGTTGAGGGTGAAAGTTTACTTCAGGGTTTGAGTTCTGAAATGTTGAGTTTTCAGGGCAAATGTTGTATAGCGGGAACAAGAATCCATGCAAGGATGGAACCACAACTCCCAAAGCCTTGCTGGCGGCCATGCAGGCTGCGGGGGCTTTCTCTGCCATCACAAGCGACCCCCCTAAACCCTAAACCCTAAACCCCTAAACCCCTAAACCCCTAAACCCCTAAACCCTAAACACCCCCGAACCATCAGACATGGGTATGAAGAGTCCCGTTATCTCTTGGGATCTTGCAACCGGAACGCTGATCAACAACATCGCTTTCACAAATAGCCTTCGCATCCAGGTACTCGGCAAACTGCTTGCCCGTCTCGATCCCTTGCCTCGTGGCTGCTTTGGGCCCCAACCTACACCTGCTAGCGGGCTACGGGAGAGGTTACTTCATCTGGGATCTCCTGAAATGGGGGGGGGGTACCCTCTTTTGGGGGTTGGGTACCCTATTTTGGGAAACACCCATTACTCTCATGAGCCATTTGCATTCTCATCGCCGTGCCAGTTCACGGAAGAATCAAGTTGCTTTACAATTCATAGCCCTGGGCCCCCAACACCATAGCGAAAATCAACTATGCCGGGGCAGAACCCTTTCATTCTTTTGACCCGTCTACGCCCTTGTAAGCGCTCAAGACAAGCCTGTTTCGTGCTTGCACAAGCAAACCCTGAACGTCCCTCCGATAATGGGGGGGAGTCTGGATGGCCCTTCCGAGAGGGCCCTCCTGCGAGAAGTCACATTATCTTCGTGTGGCGGTCCCGCTGTGTTTCACAGGTGCTTGTCTGCATTCGTGAACAAGTACACTCCTAAGCCTGCACTTCTTCTGTCATCACCAAGTCCTGTAGACCCTAAAAGCCCCCCAAAGCCCTTTAAAGCGGAGCACCGCGCGAGCTCACTCTCAGTCAAGAGGGGCGCGACCCGCTTGTTCATGTCCTTGGAGGCTCAAGAGGATGCAGAACATCTTGAAACTGGTGGTTTGAGGAGGTGGTTTAGGGGTCGGGTTTAGGGCTTGACCCAAGTTCATGCACCCCCAAAACCCCCAAACCCACCTCAACTCCGACAGCCATCCAGCAACCTCGAGACCCTGAAAGCGCAACCTCCCCAAGTCCTAAGCATGCTTGGCCTCTCTAGTAACTTACACAGATACTCTCGGCACAACCCAATTCAACCCTCTTGGAGTCGATCCCACCCCCCCTCATTCCGACGCTCACAAGGGCCCAGGGTCGTCCAACTCGCAGTAGACCAAGTCATGGCAGCTTCGATACAGCAGGTCGTCCTAACAAATTGCGGGCAAGCCCAGCACTCTTTCCAAGCGCTTCATGCTGGTTTGTGGGTTTAACGGTTTCAGGGCTGCGTCATAGGCTGTGAAGCATGGGAGCTAAGAGTCCCATGGCTTTGTTGGGAAACAGTCCCCTATACCCTACAAACTCTGGAACCCAACATCCCAGAGAGCCTGCCATTTCCTCCAGATCCGGCACCTAGAAGCTATTTGGCCCTTGAAACCCTCTGACAGCAGACCTTCCGAAGTATGACTCTCCTAAATACATTCAGGGAGAGCTTTAACCACGTGTGTGTATGTACTATCCCCAGAGCCTACCCAGGCACAAAGAGGCTTTCGGTTCCAGGCTTTGGGGGTGCGAAGCCTGGACCCCAGCACGTTGACTTATGAAGCCGCGCCACGCCGATTTGGTGGTAGTGAACCACGTAAACGAGCCTCGAGTCTTCGTGATGGGATGGGGGGGGGAAGGGCCGAATGGCTTGAGGCTTTGGGTTGCATGCCTGGTGAACTGCTGGCAAACTCGCTTTGGGCGCACTGGCAAAACATCTCATATCCCATCACATCGGTGAGAAAAGTCTGCAAGGCGGCCTGGCGTCCACAACCCAAAACCCCCTCAAAAACCAAGACTCCTTGAAGCCTACAAGCACCCGAAAATGGGATCATATATATATATATACCCGATGCTACTATAATCCCTATAAAGGCATATGGACCATCGTCGGAAATCTGGGCACCCAAAATCTGAAGCCCCAAAACCAAACTCCCGCAAATCTGAAACCCCCAACTCCGGGATTTCCGATGGCCCAGGGGGCAAAGCCGAGAGACCCAGGGCACAACCATAAGCATCAAAAACCCCAACCCGGCGAGAAAAAACCCCGAAACATTGAAAAGTCTCCACATCCTGAGGTGGTCAAGCACACTCCAACTCTTGAAAGCTCCAGGGCCTTAGATTAAACTTACGCCACTTGAGCGAAGCCGCTTCCTCTTGCGCTTGCTCCCGACCCGGTGGAAGCCGTAGGACATCGTGCCATCCCCAAGCAGCTTTGCCCTGCAGGCTGGGGCACCAGGGATCTCGAAAGCCGCCCTCAACCCCAAACTCGAAAGATACGGAATGTGCCCAAACCACAAGCATCGAAGCCCTGTGAGTGGCATAGATAGCTTGGGGCATGATTCATTGCAGTGCTTGAGGCCCACCCCAACTCCCCAGGAGCGAGAAGGCAGCAGAACTCCCGGAAGCCCAAAGCCGTTTAAGCACACAATGCTTTTCCAATGCGGCCTTCTTGCCCTCACCCTCATCCCCGACCCAAAGGCCCAAAGGCCCTGTAAAACGAGGCTTGGGCGCGCATTGGTAGGGTTTCGGGCTGAGGGCTTAAAAGGCTTAGGTTTTTTGATTTAGCGTTTTAGTAATCGGGCTTTGCGGTGTCGGATTTTAGCAGTAGGGTGCTTGGGGGTCCTGCTCTTCGCGAGATTGAACAAGTCAAGAACCCGGATTTGCTCCAAAGGGTACCGTGCGCCTGCCGGCATCCGCTTCGCGCACCATTTTGAAGGCGGAATACCTGCAGGGCATCTTGTTTCGCCCGATTTTCATCTCCCTAAACTCGAAGCCCTAAACCCTAAACCCTCAACCCTGAACCCCTAAAGGAAGGCTTCGGCTCGAAAAACCCGGCATCTCGATGTCGGGTTGAGAGGAAAAAAACTACACACGCGCGCCGAATTTAGGATTCGGGAGGTGAATCCTGGGTTCCCCTACTACCCCCTCTATACTACGCCCCTTGGTTCATAATTAAGGTTATTTAGGAAAATTAAGCATAATTAAGGGTGCTTAAGGGAACCTAGGGGGGGGGTAGTATAGAGGGGGGTGGTAGGGAAACCCATGGGTGAAGGTCTTAAGAGGTTTCGCCCTCTTGGGGATCGGGCTTTTTGTCTTGCCTTCCAATGGGATTGTCGAGAAAACAACCCCTACGAACCCGAAAACCTGAACACCTTCCTGAAGGAAGAGAACATGCCACTGCACTTTACCAAAACCCCAAACCTGAAAACCTTTTCTGCATCCTGCCTCAAGCAAACGGAAGCATTTTGCCTCAGTTGCGGCTCGGAGCTGAGGGTACCTAAAGCCACGGCATTCAAGAACCCGACCCTACACCCCTGTTTTTGCACCCGATATTGCTGGAAAGGCCCCAAGATGTCCCAAGATGTCCTAAGAGATATGGCTTCATGGGGGGCTTGGCCTCTTGAAGTTGCAAACCCAAACCCAAGCTCGAAGCCGAAGATAAAGCTAAGTAGGAGGCGGGCATCTGGTCTGGGAGGGTTGGTGGCCCGGAGCGATGGACTCACAACCGAGAGCAAAGGAAACAAGCTGGTGCAGAAGAAAGGTACAGCAGCGAGAGGAACACGGAGCCACCGCGGGAGATGTGAGACGAGTGCAAGAATGCAAGACACACACCGGAACGCGCAAGTGTCAGGGCCCTGAGTCCCAGCGCAACGATGGCATCACGGGGCAGGAAGTTCCACGGAAGCCGAGTGTTGCTCTAGGCCTGATCGGGCTGACGCTGGCGCCCCCACTAGCCCCAACTTCAGCCTGAGCTTCCGGAAGCCGCACACTGCAAGGGCCGGCAAGAGCATCTGTGACGCATCCGCGGTTGTCCAGGTACCAAAGCCACCAGCAGGGTTGCAAAACAAATCCGATCTCTCCATGCCCCCTGCCCCATCTGAGGAAAATTACTGAACTGAAGCTGCTGGAGAGGTGAGCTCTGAGTTGTAGTGCTGTGGGGTCTAAGGTGTACCCGAAGCTCTGAAGTGAACCGAAACTCTTTTGAGCAGGTGCAGAGGTTCTCAGGTCTGTGAAGCAGGAGCCGCCATCTTATCTCTGAGGTAAAGTGGTGAGGTGTTTGCAGTGTTCACGATCTTCGAACACACCCTCGGGCTCAATTCTCCGAGCGACACGAAGCTGGGGAACATGTTCCCATCCTCGAACACCCGAAGCTGCAGCGGAGCAAAGAAAAGCCTCTTGTCCAGGAGACTGTTGTCAAACACCTCACAAGGTACTGCAGGAGCCTGAATAATTAGAACAGGATTTTGGGGGGCCATTGTAGCAAATTAGAAAGGGACCATAAGGGAACATTATTGGTAACTATTCCGAACCCTGTATTATTCGGGTTCTGGGACTGGGGCCTCAAAACCTTAAGTGTTGAAAGGTGCTGACCATGCTAAGGCCCTAAACCCTGCCAACAATCAACCCAGAGTACTGCAAAGCCCCTGCTCTAGGTACGTCTTTCCGTTCGACCTTTGGTGTCTGGACTCTAGAGCTTTCAACTTTCGATGTGCGCTCATCCAGCCAGGGGTTAGCATGGCACCCCAATCGCTAAACCTGTGAGGCAACAGGCAGCCCCGCTGACCCTGCAGAAGCCCCAAACTGCAGCCGCCCTCCAAAATTGTCGGGCCTGGCTCCGAAACCCTCAGCCCTTAATCCCACATCCTGTAGAAGCCTCTGGTCAAGTCCTTAAGCTCTCGTGCCCCTCCAAAGTAGAGCACCCTTCCCCACTACAGAGTAGGGTTTGAATCGGGCCCTCATGGCTCTTGGCTCCAAAGTCCACCCTGAACCCGAAACCCGAAACCCTAAACCCTAAACCCTACAAGGGTATAAGGGCCTCACGATCCGTCAACCTTAATCCCTGTTAAGCGCCGCTGCACCAGGGGCTCTTCGATGAAGACGCCCCATGCGAGCCAGGCCATCCACCTCTTGGGGTTAGGGTTTAGGGTTTAGGGTATAGGGTTTAGGGTTTAGGGTTTAGGGTTTAGGGTTTAGGGTTTGGGGTTTGGGGTTTAGGGTTTCTTCCTGGCCATTTTTCCTGTTGCTGTCGGCTTTGTTCCAGTTTTGTTCGGGTGAAGGGTGCAGGTGTTTGTAGACCAGCGGCATGATTTAGCATGCCTGCATCGAGGCTGTAAGGGAACCTAGAACACAGCACCACCAATGTCTCTGGCTGTACGCAGAATTCGCCGCGATTGAGTGAGAGTTCGGGTTTGTTTTTGATCGAGGGTTACTCTGGGCTAGGGACGGAAAAAGACGAAACCCACCCAAACGCCAGGTGTGGTCGAATCTGGAGGGATGGGAAGAAGAAAAGACGTGCCTTCCCCATGGTCAGCCTAAACAGCCACAAACGCAAAACACGGACCCCCAAAGCTTTGAGCTTCCGGAGGTTCAGCGAAAAGCTGGGGGGGGGGGGTGGGGGCGGAGCTCCTTCTGGACTTGACCACGCTACAGGGGTTTAAGGGCTCATGGGGCATTAAGGGTCCGAGGCTTATAGGGTCTTTTAGTGAGTTTTAATTTTCAGCCTGTATTTCAGAACCTCAGACTGCAGGTTGAAGATGAGAGCTGAAAGATTCTCAGAAAAGTCGGGAAGTTTTATGCCGCGCGCTTACGACGACTTCTTCAGACTCTCGTGAGAGAAGTCCTTAAGGACACGGCCCGGGAGCCACGAACCAAGAGCCAAGAACCAAGAGTTTTGGGAGCCTTGGTTCTCAGAATGGAGAGCTCCAGGAGCCTTGGTTCTTGGTTACTTGGGGGCCCCGACCCTTTCTTCTGACTAAACTGTCTGAAAAGATCTTTGCAGCACTCCACTTCAGGATACTTTCAGTAAGAGGCCAACTTCCCATGTGATTTCTCGGCAGCTTTCAAATGGGATCTCCACAGAGCCTATTTTTCAAGGAGACTCCAGTCACACTGTGAGGAGAGAAAGCAACCAAACTCAACATCCGACAAATAAGATGAGAACACACGCGCATTAGAGTAGTGACACCAGGTGCTAGAGAAGCAGGCTTTTTATATTGGGATGCTCGCGCTATAGGTATGAGCAGGCGTGCACTGATGCTAACTTTGTAGGGTTGGCGTTCAGAGGAGTGTGGGCCATGATGGGCTTCTGAGACACGGTGGCTCCGAGTCTTTTCGGGGTGGAGGTCTGAGGAGGTCATCATAAAAATGCCATGTGCCCCCAAGCTACCATCCGTAAAGAGAGATCGTCTTGTAAAGCACGACATGGTCCTTGAAGACATCCTCGGCGGCCTCCACCGATAGCGCGCTAAACCTTAACCTCTGAACCTTGCAACCCCCCAAACTCCAAACCCGAAAGCTTTGAAACCGCGAAGCCCTCAAAACCCACTGCATCCCCAAACCCCTACATGCCAAAAGCCCAGGATTTTTTTTTACTGTTAGCCCTAAACCCTAAACAGACATGTTCAGCCCCCCTTCCCTGAGGAGGCGGTCACAGTTGGGTTCAAAGTCAAGGTCTTTAGGGCTGAAGGAGGCATGAGGTTTAGGGCTTTAGGGGTTCAGAGGGTTCCAGGGTTAGGAGTGCAGAGCTAGGGGTTTAGGGGTTAGGGATTAAGAGGGTTCCGAGGGTTTCGCTTGTAGGAGGGATTCGGGGGGTTTCCGGGTTGCAAGTGTCGGTAATTAAGGCACGAGGTCGACTGTTCAAAGGCCCCGCCAGGATGGCGCTTCGGATGCCCTCGTAGCCGGCCAGCCGCCCAAATTCGCCTTGCTTGGACTTGGGCTTACAGTGGCTTTTCAGGTGCCGACCACTTAGGGTTTAGGGTTTCGGGTAACGCTGACCGAAACGGTGAATGATGTACGGTCGCCTGCTGGGGGGCTTGGGTACTAGTGCGTGAATCGGCTTCGTTGGTGCATTGCAGTGTGCCCAGCCTCAACCGCTAAACCCCTGAACCCGAATCCCTAGACTTTAATATATACTCATAAAAACCTAGTGCCTAACCCGCCCCAATACCGAATTAAACTCTCACCCTCTCTTTCCTTCTCAAGGCTTGTACAGGCTGAGGCTTGGATCGACACACCACCTGTCCGAAACCCCCCAGGCAATAACTTGGTGTGTCTTCGGCGTGGTAACGGAGGAAGAGAGCCCAGTGGCACCATCTGCACACAGAGTCGGCGATGTACAGACACACGACCGCGACGATGCGGGCCCGAGCAGTGTGCTTGCTGACTGCATGTCGCCCACGGAGCCCACCGCGCCTCAGCCACGGAGGCCCTGATCGGATGGTCCCAGAAAATGCCAAAACAAAACATCCAGCAAGGGTCCAAACCTTGCACAGCCGCCTCGCCGGCTGTGCGAGCGTCCCGAAGCTACACGGCCTCAAAGAGGTCCCACACCCAAGGTCGGGGGCATCGGCCAAGGCAGCCGAGCATGTGTGAGGAAAGGCCCGGCAGCGTCCCCAAGCAACGGCAAGGCCCACGTCCCTACGGCTGGGTGTCACATGGCCCTCACGTGGCAGAGCGTTGTGAAGGCTGAGGCCCGCAACCATGTCAGGTCTATAGGGGCTTTTACGCCGCAAGCGAAGCTCTTGCAGTCGACATAGCCCTTTGGATCGAAACCCCACCGATCCGAGAACCCAAGATCCCCCAAAATCCCAAGACGCAAAACGCCGGAGGCCCCCAAAACCCCCAAAGACCGAAAGCCTTCCAAGTCCTAAACCACAGAAACTCCCATAAACACCCACACGCCGAATCCTCATCTCCTTCAGAAGAGGGCTTTTAAGGATATAAGATATGCTCTAAAGGCACAATAAGGGAAAATGTGATAGCCCGAAACCCGAAACCCAAGAACCCAAAAACCAAACCCTAAACCCCGAAGGTCCAAACAAAAGCCCAAAAAACGACAGCGAATCCTCGCCTCTATCGCCGTGCAAGTTCCAGAGACGGTATCGCTCCACCACACCCTTGGGATGTTTGGGGGTGTTTTGGGATGCTCAGGGGGTGTCTAGGGACATTGCCTGAGGGCTCAGAATGACAGGAAACTGCAAGGCTTGGGGGTGAGGGGGGGGAAGGGGGGGGGAGGGGGGGAGGGAGGGGGGGAGGGGGGGGTAGAGGGGGAGAGGGGGAGAGGGGGAGAGGGGGAGGGGGGGGGGGGGAGGGGGGAGAGGGGGCGGGGGAGAGGGGGAGAGGGGGAGAGGGGGAGAGGGGGAGAGGGGGAGAGGGGAGAGGGGGAGAGGGGGAGGAGAGGGGGGAGAGGGGGAGAGGGGGAGAGAGGGGGAGAGGGGGGAGGGGGAGGGGGGCGAGGGGGAGCGGGGGAGAGGGGGAGAGGGGGAGAGGGGGGAGGGGGAGAGGGGTAGAGGGGAGAGGGGGGAGGGAGAGGGGGACGAGGGGGAGAGGGGGAGGGGGGGAGGAGGGGGGAGGGGGAGAGGGGGAGAGGGGGGAGAGGGGGAGAGGGGGGGGGGGGGGGAGGGGGGGAGGGAGAGGGGGAGAGGGGAGAGGGGGGGGGGGAGAGGGGGAGAGGGGGGAGAGAGGGGGAGGGGGAGGGGGGAGGGGGAGAGGGAGAGGGGGAGAGGGGAGGGGGAGAGGGGGAGAGGGGGAGAGGGGGGAGGGGAGAGGGGAGAGGGGGAGAGGGGGAGGGGAGAGGGGGGGGGGGGAGAGGGGGAGAGGGGGAGGAGAGGGGGGAGGGGAGGGGGAGGGGAGGGGGAGAGGGGGAGGGGGGGAGGGGGAGCGGGGGAGAGGGGGAGAGGGGGAGAGGGGGAGGGGAGGGGGAGAGGGGGAGAGGGGAGGAGGGGGGAGAGGGGGAGAGGGGGAGAGGGGGGGAGGGGGGGAGAGGGGAGAGGGGGAGAGGGGGAGAGGGGGAGAGGGGGAGGAGGGGGGAGGGGAGAGGGGGGAGGGGGGGAGAGGGGAGAGAGGGGGAGAGGGGGAGAGGGGGAGAGGGGGAGAGGGGTGAGAGGGGGAGGGGGGAGGGGGAGAGGGGGAGAGGAGAGGGGGAGAGGGGGAGAGGGGGAGAGGGGGAGAGGGGGAGGGGGAAAGGGGGAGCTTCAGACGCAGGGCTTCTCTAGTCCATGTCACACTCCACATGATACACACCCTCTGGCACACGATGTTCATCCCCATCCCTACACCCTCATCAAGCGAAGCCTATCTGGTCAAATGCAATATCTGATCCGCAGCCCACAGCCCAAATGGCACCCTCAGTATCTTGGCTTTAAAGAGGGCTCCTTATCCGCCTTGAGTCGTTCTGAACCTAAGATACACACCCACCAAAAACAGGGAAAAGGGGCCTTACTGGGAGGTCGGATCTGACACATCCACAGATCTGTCCATCTTTGGGTCAAGGGTTTCGGGCTTTGGGGTGAGTTATGCTGCACGTGCGTGCCGTGTAAACAGATTTGTTTTAAAGGAAACGCCCGCAGAATAGACGCAACACGGCCGCAGAATAGCTAAGAGCGCGGAAGGCACAGAGGGCACGCGAGGCGCTGAGGGCGCGGAGAGCGCGGAGAGCGCGGAGGGCGTGGAGGGATCAGAATCAGAGGGGGAGGGCGCGGAAGGCGCGGAGGGCACGGAGGGCGCGCTGAGGGCGCGGAGCGCGTGGAGGGCGCGGAAGCCGTTCAGAGCCATCAACCGGCGATCAGGCTCCCCCCTTTACTCCCTCCCCATCAAGCGGATTCTTGTCCTCGCCCGCCCCCACCCCGCACCCTTCCGTCAACCGCACATCGTGCTTCCCACGGTCCAAGCGCCCCTCTCCCATCAAAATAATTCGACCCCACTCCCTTGACCCTGTCCTCTCCGTGGCCTCCCGCAAAATTCATTCCGTCCGACCCTCCTCCGATAACCGCCTCCTCTTCGTGGCCTCTTCTGTCAGAACGCAATCCCACAGCGCGCCTTCCGCGTTGAAGCGCGAAACGAGAACCCAAACCCGGAAAGGTTTTCGGGAATAAGCTAAGATATAGCGAGCACGAGCAGAACATACGTTAAGCGTCCAAAGCACGTGGGGGGGGGGGGCAACCCCAAACCCCCAAGCCCTGAGAAAGTTCCAAGGAGCGGTTTCAATCCCCGCCCCACCCAGGCCTGCGCATAGTCGCGGAAGTCGTGCACCATAAAAGCAGAAAGCGTGCGGCATGGCCCAGGCTCCCTAAACCCTACACCCTGAACCCTTTCAACCACTCATGGGTGCATTAGGCAGCTCACGAGATTAGAGTTTGTAGGGGCAAAGTAAAACAGAGGTGGGAACCTTCTTAAGGACCTGAGATTTTGAGAACTGTACATTACAGGTTCAGGGTTCATCTGCCTGCGGCGTTTCAGGTCGCGTTTCGGATCCCCTTCGTAGGGTGCGTCGGGAATTGGGTTTCAGGGCTTTGGGGATGTTTGTTTGGGGTAGGGTCCTGCCAAATCTACCCCAAGCCTGCAAGTGCTTGAGCATTCAGGCGATCTTGCGGCTCATCGAAAAGGACTTGACATCCCGAGGTGGGGGATGGGAGGGCCAGATTTGGGGCTTTAGGGTTTAATTTTAGGGTCTACGGCGGCGCTGGTCACATTTCTTGCATGCAAAAAGCAGCCAACGACTTCGGAACCTTTGCCGAGCAGTCGAGTCGAGTTGGGGAAGCGGTTCTGTCCAGCTTTCTGATAGCTAGGCGGACCGAGTCCCTCTCTCCCGAAAATGGCCTGGGGACTTGGTTCAGCAGCGCTGTGTCGACGCTGTGCGGCCCATGCAGGCTGAATCAGCAGCGCTGTAGACGCTGCGGGAGCTTCCGAGGGTTGTGGGGGTTTATCCCCCTATGCCCTGTTTCCGGAAGCACCCATCTGGAACCATCTTCCGCAGTCAAACGGGATTGGGTGCGGCTCCGCGAGCGGAGTTTCCAATGAAGGATTTGAAGGCCTTATGATCTTATGGGAACCTGCTCCTTCTCAGAAGACATCCTGCAACCCCCCCCCAAGGCAGCTTATCCACTCTGGACCCTGCGCGCCTTGGGTTCGGAAGGTTGAGTTTCGTCCAATCCCTTCACAATTCTAGAACCTCCCTAGGCCCCAAAGAGAGCCCCTTAAACTCTGAAACTGTAAAGCATTCCCCGCATGCTTCGAGGAAGGGAACTTGTGGAGGGCTTGGAGTTGCTAGGAGCTGTTAAAGGGCTTAAGGCGCTTAAGGCCTTTGGGTGCTAAAGCTTCCAGGGATTCAGGAACGATGCATCGTGTCTTTGCACCTGATGCCCTCAAGGTTTCGAGATGGCTGGAGGGTTTAGGGAAGTTTGCAGCCACCCGCCCCCGTCTGAAGCAGCACTGAGAGAAAAAAAGCGCTTTGCGCCGCAAGAACACGAGCTTGCATGAGCGGCAGACAGTGAAACCTTCAAAATACTCTGAAGTTCAGGGAAACCTGCTCTTCGGAGTGCCGGAACCATCATATTCATCACGAGACCGCCGAAGCAGGTCCGTTGACATCGACCACGCTCTACGGCTTAGGGTTCCCAAGGAAACACCATTAGCAACAGATCGAGGGGCGTACCATATATATATATACACACACACACATGTCCGCGTGTGGCTATGAGCTCTGAACCTACAAGCCAATCACAATCACAGGGTTTTGGGGATGCTTCGGGCTCGCTGTGCAGCTTCCCCGAACCGCGCACACTGTGCGAGGAGTCCGGCAGGGAGGGAGGTCGCGGAATTCGCAAACCGAGCCGGGCTGCCTCGGCTCTAGGCCTGGCCACCAGCCCACTGGCCTGTCGATGGGAGTAGGATCTTTTGGTGCCCTCTCTCCCCTCGCTCCTCTCTCCTCCCTCCTCTCTCCCTCTCTCCCTCCTCTCTCCTCCCTCCCTCTCCCCCCCTCTCCCTCTCTCTCTCTCTCTCTCTCTCTCCCCTCTCCGTCTCTCCCTGTCTCTGTCTCTCTCTCTCTCTCTCTCTCTCGCTCGCTCTCTCCCCCTCTCGCTCTCGCACTTTCTCTCCCTCTCGCTCGCTCTCTCTCTCTCTCTCTCTCTCTCTCGCTCTCTCTCTCTCTCTCTCTCTCTCTCTCTCTCTCGGGGGGGCATTTGTTCTGATCGAGAGCTGATCGCTTCTGAGCGGGTATGAGATAGGAGCAGGGAGGAAAACCTGTTTGGAGGATTCGGCGGAGGCTTGGAAAGCCTTCCAGTTCCAAACGCTGCAAACCCTTGAATGCACAAAAGCCCCTTCTGCTAAACCCTAAACCCGAACCCTAAATCCAAAACAATAGCCCTAAACCCTTTAGACCCTTTCAACCACAGCCCCTACAACTCTGAGGGTGCCTTTCTGGGTGTCCATGACTGTGCCCTCTCCCAAACCCTTCCCCGATCCGCCATCAGGCCGTAAGATGCCGTACAATGCCATATCGGGTTCACGGTTTAGGGTTTGGGGTTCAGGGTTTAAGGGTTTAGGGTTTCGGGTTTAGGGTTTGGGGTTTAGGGTCTAGGGTTAGGGTTTAGGGTTTAGGGTTTAGGGTTTAGGCTTTAGGGTTTAGGGTTTAGGGGTTTAGGGTTTAGGGTTTAGGGTTTAGGGTTTAGGGTTTAGGGGTTAGGGGTTAGGGGTTAGGGGTTAGGGGTTAGGGATTAGGGGTTAAGGGTTAGGGTTTAGGGTTTAGGGCTTAGGGTTTAGGGTTTAGGGTTTAGGGTTTAGGGTTTAGGGTTTAGGGTTTAGGGTTTAGGGTTTAGGGTTTAGGGTTTGGGGATAAGACGACTGTAAGGGGTTTTTTTGGGGGGGCGATATTATGGGCATGGGAATGGAGCGCGCGGCCTTGGTTCTGATTGCTGCTTGCCTTCCGTCGCGTGGACCAGTGAACCTCGGAGGAAGACGTTGAAGTGTGTGGGCATTGGGGTTTGGGGTTTAGGGTTTAGGGTTTGGGGTTTCAGGTTTAGGGTTTAGGGTTTAGGATTTGGGCCCTCAACCCCTGAACTCTGTTGAGCCTTGGATCGTGGCTCTGCTTTGGTTACGGTTAGCCTCTTCTCTGGATAGTTGTCTCTTGCCTTTCTGCCTCCCCAGTTGGCACCTTTGTCAGAGACTTCGTCAGCCTCACCCTGCAGTGATTGCCAAAATGACACTCTGGCATGATGGATTGCCTACATACATTTCTACTATCTGCACGGCCGGCTGTGCGAATCTAAGTAGCCCAAATTTACCAGCCTTATACGGTCCGAACCCTGAACTCTTGGTTCTTGACACGGGCCCGAAATCCCCCGGATAAACCCTAGCAGAAGAATCCCTGCACCGACTCCCAGACATTGCCGAGGAGCATAAACTGCTCCGCAGGCGCAGCAGCAGAGGAAGAGCCCCATGACCCCGTACCTCGGAGACGCACAGCGGGAGCTTGGGCAGGTTTTAGGCTCTAGGGTTGGAATGTTCCCCCTTATATGAGCACCCCCTATGATGATCCCTATTAAGGACTGCTAGTACAATGGGAAACTCCCAACGGTGTTCGGGTCGCCGCTGCCCAGAAGTCATCCGAAGTTGAGTTCTGACAACATGAAATGGGCATTTTTTGCCAACGGGGCGTGTGGCAATGATGATTTCCCGCCATGACTGCTGTGGCAATGGTCGAGTAGCCCCCCCAAAACGTCGAACTCTTCAAAGTCTAAATGTTCTTGTTTCTTAGGAATACCAGAACAACACAAGAAAGGTGTCGAACTCCTCCCAGTACACCCGAAACCTGGGCCTACGCCCCAAGGACAGGAGCCTGAAGAACTGGACCAGAGGCCTTGTGTTCAATATTAATATGAATCATATTGTAATTTTCTGAATACTATTGAGATTTTTAAGCTTATAAGATTATTAATATCATTCATATCATTAATATCATTCATATCATTCATATCATTAATATCATTAATATCATTAATATCATTAGAATTATTAATGTCATCACTATTCTTCATATTACTAACACAGTATTAACATTTTCGCATTATTAATGTTAATGTTATTCATATTATTCCTAGGGCTTAGTCACGGAAACTCTGAAGCCTCAAAGCCCGAAACCCTACTACCCATACAAACCCACAATGCAGGGAAAGATGCGCCACGAACATCCAGGGGAAGACCGCTTGCTCTTCCTGCCAGGGGGGCTGAGGCAGCTATCAGGGTTGAGGGTGCTCGGCTTAGGATTCAGAGAATTCGAAACGTCTTGGCCTTTTGCTTCTTTTGTTTTGTTTTGTGTGTGTGTGTTTACTTTTGTTTGAAGGGGGGGGGGAAGCCCCCTGGCTCATAGCAAGATGCAGTAGCGGGGGTGTCGGTGTGGTTTCCTTTTGGTTTGCGTTTGTGCGTTGGTCTGCGGTCTCTTTCCTTGACCCTCCCTCCTCTCCCTCTGACTTCAGGGTCGTAGAGGCACTCGAGCTGACTCGATTGCTTGCGTAGTGTGAGCCATGATTGCAGGGCGTCTTGCTTTCCTTACGCTGCTGACATTCTTATGTGGGAGCTTGGCCAGAAAACGGCCATTGGAGGATTCCTCGGATCCCATGCTCGTCAGTACTGGCGAGGCCCCTCTCTGGACACATCAAGATGGACAGGGCCTGACCTCTGCTGATCTACAAGCCCAAGCAACCGGCAGACAGTTGACTGGTTCCGTTGAGATTGGCCCAGGCCCAACATTGGACTCAATGCAGCTCACCGCATGCATCTCACATGCACTCCGCACTGACATCGCAGCTGAAGTTGCGATGGATACCAAGTCATCGGAAGATAGCGCTGCTGCCAATCTGGCAACCCTAACAGCGGATGAATCTGCACTGAAGGGGGAAGCGACATATACCCTGGCATGTCCGGAAGGACATGGTCGGTCCTTCGACGACTCACGAGCCCTGGCATCAATTATGCCGCCGACAGGTGCTGAGGAGATCGGCTCAAATCTGTCGCATCTCACCACATGCCCCTTGCAAGTACATCCCTCTGGCGCCTCAGCTGCAGGAGTGATCGGAGTCACGCAGTCAGTTGAGACTGCTGCTTCAATTTCGAAGGCGCCTATAATGGAGGTGTCTGCAACAACCGGGGCAGTGCAGGATACTCTGGTGTCCACGGTTCTGCCGTTCTCTGCAGTTGTTCAGCCACCAGTCGCTTGGAGCTGGGAAGCCGACATCATGATCGGACAGATGGCTGACCGT